ACCCACACTGATGTAGGCTTCTTGGAAATGTCACGACACTCTTAAACTTTGGCAATACAAGAAGATCATTTGGTCCATTTCCTGAGCATTTGCTGCAAAGCTCAAATCTTCCAGGTCTGCAGCAGTTGCAAGCGATTTGGCCTTATCATCCAACATAAGAAATCAGATAAAAATAATCTAAGACAGAAGCTCTCTAACTTGGACTCAGTTTGAGGCAGGGGGAAAGGTCAGGAAGACCCGCAAGTGGATCCACCTGGGGTGGATCATACTAGCGACATCACCACCATTATATTTTCTTTATGGGTCGGTGTTATGGTTTTCTAAAAGTGAGACAGACAGAATGGTTTCAGGCGGGGGAAGATGGGCTCTTGTGACTTTCATAGTTGCATAGAAAGGGAATTTCAGGAGATGTAACTTTTCTTGCCACCACATCTTGTTTCTGCATCCAGAAAAATTCTCTCATTGAGCAACTCTAAGGCAGAAACTTTTTCCTCCCCTGCATCTGGTCACCCTAGAGACAAAAGCAGGAAGAAGAACATGTGTCATTACAGCATTAAAAACAGGTCCCGTGTTGCAGTAAGTTCTAGTGGATGGATGGTTGCTTGTAACTGGAGTAATCACAGGGGTGGGCTTCTTCAGGCTTGACTAGTCTAGTTTGTTTTTGCAAGTGTACCAAGCGCCAGATGCAGAAGGACTGAAGGACAGAGTGCTTCTAAGCACGTCCTGAACCTAGAGGTTGGTTTTCAGTACTGGAACTGAACAGAACTCATAGTGCTTCCATACAAAGCTCCACTCTGGGCTACTTAAAGCTTTCTTCATTTCAGTGTGATCTGGATAAAAAATATCATGCTGTTGCTCTTGGGGGTCAGAAAGCCTTTCTGATGTACTATAAATGATTCTGTGATCTGCCAGTAGATCCTACACTTACAATGTGTAGAGCAGCTTTCCCCAACCTGGTGCTCTCCACATGGGTTGCACTACATCTCTCAGCAAGCATGGTCCTTCCATCTCTCTTGGGTTTGCCAAACCCATTTTCCTTACAGCTCAGTTGATCTGCTAGGATTGTTCTCATGAACAAGAAAGAATGTGCAGCAGTGCCTCCTGCCCCTGGATCCAAAGTAGCCTGCGCCCCATGAATGTTGTGTGATGGCTCACAAGCTTGTGCACACCAGTATGTGATCCCCAGCCAATACCAGTCGTGGCTCTTGGGGCCAAACATGTTGTCCATCCGTGATATAAATGCCCAAATATTAATGACACTACAAAACCTGTCCTAGCAGGAAATTATAAGTAGATCAAGATAAAACAACGACAGTGCTGAGAATCTAGCACTAGCCCAACAAAGAGTCAGAATCCAAGGTCCTCCTGAGAAGAGATTTTTTGCCAGCCATCTGAAAGTTTCACGCTAACTTGCCTGGTGACCCTGTCCAGGGAGAGACTCCCACAACTGTTGTGCCAATGCTCCTTGAAAGGCCCTGCTCCTAGTCTTATTCTAGGAGTCATTTTGCTTCTGAAGGAGATGACCTTGAAGGAAAGGTAGGCACTCTGGTACTAGATCCAGACATTTTGGACTAGAGAGTCCATAAACCTCAGCCAGCATGGCTAGTGATCATGGATTCAGGGAGCTGTAGTCTAAAATGTATGGAGGGGACCAGGTCACCTACACCTGATTGAGAGATTATGGGGCCTGATATGGAAGGAAGTGGTTCCAGTTGTATTAGCAGCGAGGCATACTCCCACAGAATTCCAATCTAAGGATGTCATCTGTAATTATAAGCATGAGTGAGAGTTTTGCCATTGATTTCACTGGGATATGAATCATACCTTACATTCATAATGTAGCCGCTCTGTATGTAATTAACCTCTGAAGCTGCTGGAAGGACTTTATGTGGCTTGTAAAGTGAGGTGAATTGAGTCCAAGAATTAAAATATCCAAATACGATCTACAAGTGCTTAAGAGATTATGTTTGGCACTAAACTCCACCATATTAGAATTTTAAAAAAATAGCTATGAGTTTCATTAGAGTTTTCCATGAAACTGAGATTCTTTAGATGGAAAAGATATCTGGAAAATATACCAGAATTCTAATACACTAGTACCTCTGTAGTGTTTTTACTGAAAACAGAGTGTGGTTTACAAGTTGCTTATTCCAATACACTAAGTGGAATATTATGGATCAAAGCAAATGCAACCTCCTCCATCTAAATGATGCTTATGTTTACCTCCGAATTTCTCCCTGGGCTGCATGGGGATCCTAAGGGCCCCTTGAAAGACTCAAGTTCCTACTGTAATTATTCCGCCCACTTACACATTGTCAAAAAAGAAAACACAAATATGGACATTAATTTGCATTATGTCCAAATGCTAATGTGTACATGCACATTTAGAAAGCATTCCTGGAAGGTAAATGGAAATCCCAAATGTCTCACCACAGAGCCTGGGACCAGGAGACCCATGTGTCTGCTCAGACTGTGGTCCAGGTGCCATTGGCTGAGAGGCAAATTCAAGGTGCTGCTGCTCTCCTAATTTCTCACAATTCTTGTGGTATAAACCAGACTTGGAGTGGATGCAGCCCTTCAAACAGAACTGTTTTCTGAAAAATTGGATGAATGTCCATCCTGGCCCTGATCAGCATGTTTTGTGGTGGTGAACAACCCATTAAAACATAAAATACAACAGTAGAGCAGAACAAAAGCTAAGCACACCCCAACTGCCTGGATTCTTTCAAAGAAATGCAGGTTAAAATGCCTGAGTGAACAATTCCAAGAAAGCCGCTTTCTCTGATGATATGCATCACTTTGCTGGAGGGGCAGCAAGAAGAGCAGGTTTTAGTGCACTGGTCTGGTATGGGAAGAGTTTCTGCTTCAGATTTGTGGCTCCCAAAACTTTTGGAGCTTTAAAAGAACATTCAGCGGGTCCAAAGGTGAATCAGTTGTCAGTGACATTGTTTTCAAACTGACCTGATAATGATAAACCTTAGATTGCCCACCAAAACTCTGGTGGCCATATTCTCTCTGAGTTAAAGTTTCTGGGTTTTCCCCCTCTGTAATACACTGCAGAAGTCTGCGTGCTGATATCTTCCTGACTCCAGAAATGATAACAGTCTGCCTTGCATCTGCCTGGCAAAATAAAAAGTAAGGAAGCAAGAAGACCAGTCCCAGCCTCTTGTCACCTGAGGCAGGAGAGAATGAGGGCCACTGCTGTGGCCGCATGATCTACCCTTTCCCCTGTCGAGTGAGCCGCCTGGCTGCTTGGCCGTCCATAGAGCTGGTGCGCTGGCAGTGGCAAAAGTAAAGAGGGGAGGCAAGCAGCGAAGGAGAGAGATGGCGGCTTGCCGCTCCAGAGAGCCCTACTGGCTGCCTCTCCCCGTGACAAGTGCCATCATGGGAGAGTAGCCAGGGGGATCACCCGGAGCAGCAGCAACAGGCCCTTCTGGTTCAGCGGGGTGGCGGGGCAGCACAAGTCCGCATTCCTCCCACTCCACTGCCTGATGTCGGCACCTCCCCCTGCTCTGGGGGAAGCTGGCCCTGAAGCGTTCGGACACATGGCAAGAGCTTCCCCACTGAGACAGGAACAAGGCCAGTCCAGCTCCATGAGGTGGAAAATTGCCTTTGGCAGATCTTGGGCCCATCACCTCAAGATCATTTAGTCATTTATTTTTTCCACCTTAGTGTTTGTATGGTAGGGAGAGGTGCAATTTAGATATCCTCTCTAACACACTGGGGTATCTCTAGGCAGGATGTTTCTGGCATCAGAAGTATTTTATGGGGACCAAAGCTTGCTTGAAAACAGAATGGTTAGTGCTGGTTATTACAGCTGTAAAGTGCCCAGAGTTTTGCATAGGCAACAGGAGGGTAGAACAGAAATCCATCTCTTCACACAAACAAGCAAACCTTGTTCACAGTAGACAACCAGATGCCCAAGGGAAGCACCATAGAAGCACAAGGGAAAAGGCCCTTTTGTAGTGTGGTTTCCCAGTAGTGGATATTCAGAGACATATTGCCTCTGATCTTGGTGGTAAAATGCGCCCTTCAGGAACAGTGATCATTGATAAAGCTGGACACAAAGCCCCAGGGCCAGGGGGCAAATCCAGCCCTCCTGGGAACCCCGGAAGGCCAAGCTCCCTCCTCTTGGCTCCAACCCCTTCCCCTGACCCTGGTTGTTTGATGGATTTCCAGGTTTTGGGCAGTTCCCTACTCTGAAAGGTTGAAGTGCCTCTCCCAAGGCTTAGTTACTGGCAGTGAGAGCATTGTGCTAAAATGTGATGTATTTTGGGTATGTTCTTTTTGTTTCAGCCATGCTGGCAATCTGCCCCCCTGAAAGTATCTCCAACAGAACTTGCCTCTCAGGCTGAAACAAATTCTGCACTCCTGCTTTAAAAGTTTGCCCCTTTTAAATGCATCCAGTTTGGTGGCTACTGCTGTATAACATGGTCGATTGTGAAGAAGCAATACATGTGCTATTTTCAGGCAGTGTGGCAGCATCATTTCAAGGCCCCATTTCAAGTGAGCAAGGCCCAAAGGATAGGTTGAAATAATATTTTTGTTGTTTTCTAAGACAACTGCCTTAGGTTATTGCCTTTGGTTTTCCACGCTAGTTGTAACAAACAAATATTTCCTAATAAATCACAGAAGTGCCTCATAGTCTGCCGGTCCCAAAGCACCGTCTTGACCACTGAAAACAGAGGATGGGGGCACAGCTGCATGTGCTCATATCCCCTTTTCCAGATCACCCTCACTTCCCCATCTGCGCTCCTACTTTCGTCACAATGGGTTTCATCACCTAGGGCTCCTTTTGTGCGTTTAACAGCTTTCAGCGTGGTTCTTGGAAACAGTGGCATGTGATTTTATAAATTCAGGAATCCCCTAAGGATTGTTGCAGTATTGGCACAGTCAGAACACTTAAAACATGATGGGAAGTTTTGTATGTGTGTGTTCATCCAGCGGGTTCTCTTTTATAAAACACCGACACTGACAACCTTGATTTGTTTTTGATGCAGGAAAGACTCTTGGACGAGGCGCTTTTGGGAAAGTAGTGCAAGCTGCTGCTTTTGGAATTAAAAAGTCACCTACATACAAAGTAGTTGCTGTGAAAATGTTGAAAGGTAGGGGGCTTGTGGTGTTCATTGTGCGGGCAACTTGGCACCCATTTTTGACTGTCCTACACTGGGAGTACCATTATGGCCTTCTGAAGTTCTTGGGCTGAAAAGGTTCTTGTACCCCTGGCATAAGCATTCATGTGTGCTATCAGTTATATCTGATACGGTGGATCATGTTCATGGAAGCTTGTGCCAGAATACATTTGTGTACTTGGAGGTGTCATCAGATACTTGGTTGCCAACAATAGCATTTGGATACTGATAGATGTTCAAAACAGCTGAGATAATGGGTAATTAGTAACTGCAACTCTCCTGTTGTTTCATGCAGATCTGTAAAAGTTTATCTCCAAAACATTATTAACTAAGGTATCTTGTAAAAGCTTTGATAGTAAAGCACCAGCCTCCCTGTGTAAGGCTTATTCCAAAGACCTGTGTTGGATCTGAGTACTATAGCCAATCCCATGGTGGTCCTGGACACCACCCAAATCCCTTGGGTTAGAACAGGTTATAGATCATGTCTGGACCAGACCTCAGCTGATGAAAACATCAGTAGACTCCATGCAGACAAGCAAATGTGATCCCAACTAGGGAAAACAGGACTCCCAAGGTGCAAATGAATCATGTTCGAGGCCTCAAACAGGCAGATAGACTTCAAAGAATCAAACAGGCAACACGCATAGAAAATGGATTTAAATCAGCAAGCAAAGGATGCAGCTCCGAAGAGTGTATGGTACAGAGAATTCAGTGTGGAGAGTATAGCTAGCAGCCCAACATCCCAGAGTGCCAGTTTCTGGAATTTGTGGCGGCACTTCACCTGGGTTTCCAATTGATTTGTGAGTCCCAATGACCAGCAGACTGCCATGGGTGATCAGCAACAAGTCATGGCAGGGGGTGGAGGAATCTTGTGAGCTGGGGTAGAAAGGTCCTGCCAAGGCACTGGACCCCAAGTTCCCCTAGATGAAAAGCAAACAATTTCCCTTGACCTTGCAGAAGGCGCTACAGCAAGCGAGTACAAAGCTCTGATGACTGAGTTGAAGATCTTGATACATATCGGCCATCATCTGAATGTTGTGAATTTGCTGGGTGCTTGCACAAAGAGCGGAGGTACAATGGGCACGGCCTGCTGATTTGAAACGGAATTTGAAATGTTATCCTGCTTTTCTTCATGCATTAATTTGTGATAGGCTGGAAGTGGTTCTTGATCCTAACAGCAGCTGACGTTTGTTCTTACAGTTTTCAGGGCTGGCCCTGAGTGGTGGCAGATGTTAGGATAGGGCAGAGGGCGGTGGAGAACTGCTGGAGAACTATGTTCTGAGAGCCATATGCCTGCCTTGGACTGCCTAAGCCGGCCTGCTGTCCTCAGGAGGATGCTGTGCCATGCCCAGGTCAAGATAAGATCCGATTGTCCACCTGCGTACATGCACTGGGGGGCATCATCTTGGCCTTTGCCTCTGGCAGCAAACTAACATGGGCAGATGCTGATAGTGATGCTTCTAAGAGTTCTTTTGCCTGAACCTGGGCTTCCTACCACCAGGCACAACAGCATCTAACCCAGATTAAACTTTCCTAGCAACTGGTGTGAAGGAAAGTGCAAGCAAAGGCTGGAACTAGGGCTTCTGTGACAATAACATGGATTTCTTGCAAATATTTTCTTTTCTAAATAATTCCATTGCCTTGCTCCAATATACCCTGAGCAAAAGTAAGGACACAATGGTCATAAATTGTCCCTCCTGCCCCCTCCCCACCTAAAAAATCTTGCTTTGTTCACAGGACCGCTAATGGTGATTGTTGAATATTGCAAATATGGAAACTTATCAAGCTACTTGAAGAGCAAAAGGAATTTCTTTTCTATCACTAAGGTAAACCCTCCAAGACCACTTTTTCTCTTCCAGCCCAGTGGACCACTTATCAAAAGAACCCACATAGGTTTTATCTTGTTGCACAACACGAAATACAAAAGCGAACGGAATCTGGAGTGCAAAAGTCCTGAGTTCGGGGGGGGGGAGGGGCTCCAGTGCTGCACCGCTGGAGTAACTCAGGGAAGCATCACAGCACTGCTAGAGCTGCCCATCACAATCCTCTGCACAAATGACATGAGGGAGCAGCCAAGGCACCTGCTCTGTGGGACAAAGGAGTGGCATTTTCTATAGTCATACAAGGGTTCGTGTGACTGTCTGTCCGTCCATTACTGCCATGTTGCCAAAACCACAAAACTCAAACCTGGCTTGCCTGCAAAGGAGATCTAGGAAGTGCACTAGGATGTGGATCTTTTGTTTTAAAACAGAGTAGGTTTAATTATGTTAGTGTGGCCATATGGTTGTAGGCTGCAGAAACATGTTCGGCCATTAGGGGGCAAGCTTCTCTAATCAGCACATAGCTTTTCAGCCCAAACAGCTGAAGTCGGGAATATGGACTTCTGCCTACCAGCTCCTCACTGCTGTGGGGCAACCTTGCATCAGGGTAATGGAGTGGGCAGACCCTTCCCTTGGGGCGCTAGAAGGGGCCACTGTGGAAGAGCCGTATCTAGGAGTCTCAGTGGGCATATGTAGCTTCATTCAGACAGGGCAAGCACAATGCTACCAGCTCTGACAGCTGCTCAGATCTACTGGAAGGCTGTGCTGCATCAAGGGAGAACCCTTTCAGTGCTTACAGTGCCAGCTACGTTCAGCACCTCACATCTCCCTGCTTGTCTAAAGGATGCATCCATTCAAGGAGAGGCGATGACAGAAGAGAAAGATGTTGCGCCTATCTGCAGTAAGAAAAGGAGACTGGAAAGTGTCCCAAGTCGGGAGAGTTTAGCAAGCTCCGGGTTTCAAGAAGATAAAAGTTTAAGTGATGTTGAGGAGGAAGAGGAGAGTATGTATTAATTCCTTCCTTTTCTATGAAGCCTGTGATATTTTTACAGTCATGCTCTGTATCTCTGACATTTTCATTCTCCATTTATCACCCTTGTAAACATCCGTGGGAGATACTCAGACCCAAGAAGGGGTGGTTTAAAATAGATTTATTTACGACGTTGCTCAATCTGACAGGAAGATGCATGGCTGTTTCTATGGTTCCGATGTTGTCCTTTGGAGGAAGTTTTTGGAATAGTGCAAGAATGGGGCTTTGGTTTTTTGTTTTTTTGCACTCACTAGTAGACCAAACTCTACTGAATTAAACTGTGGGCCACACAAAGTCATGTTAAACTTGTCTTCACTGAATTGATTTCAGACTCTGATTATTTTTACAAGTCACCCCTGACTATGGAAGACCTGATTTCTTACAGTTTTCAAGTGGCTAGAGGCATGGAGTTCTTGTCCTCTCAAAAGGTGAGTGCATTCATAGCAGCAGCAGCAGCAACAACAAACATTATCTTAGCACCCCTTACAATAGGCTCTTAGATAGACTCATTCTATTGTCCAGCATTTCAGCCTTCACAGTCTAGTGCCCTTCAGATGTTTCAGTTTACAATTTAATCACCCTGAACATGGGACATGCTGCCTGGGGTTGGTTGGTGGGAGTTGTTACTGAAAAATTCAGAGGGTACTGGGTCGAGGAAGGCTGGAGTATTGCATTCTACTTGCTTTTCTCACTTTTTGTCTATATCAACTATGCAAGAGGCAGAAATTCAGCATTTTGCATCACTCCCTAAATCTATATTGGGGGAAAGTGATTTCCTCTGCCGTGTGGAAGTTTCACTGTACATTGGAAGCGTGCCACACGGCCGCAGAATGAGTCTGCGTGTTACTCACCATAGTGGGGAAGTCGCAACACGGTGAAGATAACTTGGTCTCCATGAGTCAAGTGACAATTATATTTACTTCCAAAGGAAGGAAGGAAAGACCAGAGTTCTTCTTGTGGTTCTGGATAGAGATATGGAGTGGTTCCTATTTTTGTGCTGTAAAAGGTGATGAAAGGAAAAGCTTGGTTTGTTGCAGAGATGCTTTGGCTTACAACTCCACCCTCCATCCTGTTGGCTGCTGGCTGATGGGAGTGCTAGGCTAAATCAGCTGTAGGCCACAAGCTGCCAACCCTGGATCTGTTGCATTAGAGGGTATAATCCTGGGGCTGAGGCAGCCTCAGAGGAGTGGAAGCCACACACACACCTCCTAAAAGCTTGCATGTGGCACCAGAAAGGTCACTGGAATGTGGTCAGAAGGGTCACTGCACCTCCTCATTCTCGTGTAGAGCTGCATCTAGGGTCAGCATCAGGTTCAACAGTGAGAAGGGCTTCAACAGCCCCCTTTCCACATGGTTAAAGGCCCCACATAGAATGCTCTCAAGTAGTGGCTACATGACTCCTGGCTGCCTGAATCGCCGCTGCTGTTATGCCTTGAGGTCTCAATGTCACCCAGGGGCTGCATTACATTTTGTCCCACAAAATACTGTGTGCAGCTGAACACAGTGCAACCGCAGCTCTCTGACTTCCTTTAGCTCCCCCTTCAGAAACTCACCGTTTCCATTAAGGCTTTGGCATGGGGACTGAGCACCATGCCCTGCTCTGACCTAGCCTTTATTGTTATGTTATTTTAATTTTTTAACTTTATTAAATCACTTAATAACAAAAAATTAATCATAACACACATAAAATTGTACAAGCAAATAAAAAGAAAGAAAAAAGAATTAAAATTATACTAAACGGTAACAAAATAAAACAAAACACAATTCCCCCTCCCACAAAAAATGGTGCATCCCACCACAGGGACCATTGGATACCCCATATATTGTTTAGTCTTTCAAGAGATTCCAGGCCCCTTCCAAAATTGCAATGAATTTTGTGAAGGTTCAAAACCTTTCCCTTTTATTAATACATACTCCGTGGTCCCAAATATAATCAAAATTATTCTTATTTATCAGACCTTTTTCACTTTAATATCACAAGTTAACTTATCATTAATAGCTATATTCCAAACTTTGCGATACCTTTCACTCAACTGATACTCATATTTTACTTTCCAGTTCTTTGCTATCTGTAATCTAACATTTGTGAAAAAATGAGTTATTAATTCATTAATATTACATCACCTTTGTTTTTGATCAATATTTAAACTCAATGTTTTACTAATTTCTTTAAAAACCTCTTTCCGGAATTTCATTATATTTCACATTTCCACAGCATATGAAAATGTGCACTGACATGTTATCTGAAAACAGGCTCTGCTCTGACTAAGCCTACATACATGTGACTGAACTAAGTGCACAATCTTCTGTGTGTTTAAAGATATTGCATCACTCCCAGCATGGCTGGCTAGAGAATGCTGGGAATTGTAGGACCTTTTGCTTTTTAAACTTACATAGGATTACACCTTCAATGTATACTTTCCCCCATTAGCTCCTCGATCAGTTTCCTTCACTTCCACAGACCTTTTCCTGTATGGACTCTCCTGTGCTCAGTTTTAAATTGTAACCCCTCAAGAACTGGCCCCTTGTACTTTGTAATGCACCATAATATTGATGGCATTATATTTTTGTTTTACTGATGTGAAACACCTTTATTCCACTCTTCAGCTGAAATCAGTTCCTTAGAACAGTTTTCAAAGGTAAAAAAAACACATGCACATACATAAATGTCACTATTGCCATGATGGAACCTCCCAAAACTGGCATCCCTGTGAAGAATGGTTCCTGCCTGCCCCATTATGTGTAGAAAAACTGAACAGAGACCTGCACAATGTCAGGCGCATCCAGGCAACCACACAAGCCAGGCAACACCCTCGCAGCCTCACTTCCACGCATGACAAACGGACACTAGCCTTACCACTTGTCCCAAAGATTTTAGAAGCTTAAGTTGAACCATTACAAAATGGTACCATGGAGAATTTTGGCCTAGATTTCTGATTAGGTTCAGTTTGGCTTCCTAAAAATTGCTTGGTTTATGTGAATTCCACCTGCAAGTCATCACATGATAGTAAAGCTGGTAAGCTAAATCTATATAACATCCTAGTTAATTTTGTCAACTGTCTCAAGCCATAAAGGATATAGAAAGTGTGAAATAAAGTGACCCCTTCCTTGATAACACTTAGGAGATTTAATGCAGAATTCTGAACATGTCTACTCAGAAGCAGGACACAATCCTATGCACACTTACCAGGGAATAAGTCCCATTCAACTCAATGAGGCTTACCTCTGAGTAGACATGTACAGAATTGCACTGAACAGGTATGTAACTTTTGATTCTGAAAAGTATTTTCATAAAAGAAGGTTCATATTTGATTTGTGTAGTCCTCTGTAAACCTTAGACAACTTTCAAATGAAACAGATATTAAAACATGAAAATGCCTAGTTGGTTTGTTAAAGGACATGAAAAGGGTGCAGGACATCTTGTATTTAGGTTTTGTATCAGGAACTGCAGTGAAATTGTGAAACTGTTTCCTTGTAGTGCATCCATCGTGACTTAGCAGCCAGAAATGTCCTTTTATCTGAAAACAATGTTGTGAAGATCTGTGATTTTGGCCTTGCAAGAGATATTTATAAGAATCCTGATTATGTGAGAAAAGGCGATGTAAGTTGGTGTGCTGCTTATTATTTGCCCCATTGTTTATCATTTTAAATGGCTCACGAAAATGTTCTTGAAATGTTTACATTCTCTGCATTCACAAGGCCCCTGAAAGCACCGCATTCTTTTTAATGTGAAGATGAGCAATCCAGATGAGTTGTGTACACTGTGACTATTTGCATCCTCTGCAACAATGCTCGGAAACACTCACCAGCTCTGCTTTCCAAACAGTTTACATGTTGATATTTGCTTCTTGGCTAACCTTGCCAGACAAACCCGTGAAGGAGCTTCAAGTTAATGCACAAAAGAAAATAGATGCCTGCTTTTCTTCACTGGGGCTGGAGCAGGGCTTAATAGCAGCCATGGCTTATCAAAGTTTAGCCCCAGAACTGATTGGTTCTGTTCAAGGACTTGTTAGCTCAAGAACTGTGAGTGTTCACTCTTGTAATAATGTAAAATGACATTGCTTTAGCTACAAAGAATGTCTTCAAGGGATCTTAATATTCTGGAAGAAGATGCAAGGTTTTTGTTTGTTTATTCATCCAATTAATGTACTCTTCTAGAAGAGTACATTGTCTGTGCAGTGAACAATAAAATATGTGAAGAAGCAACATTTTAGTGATATTAGTCCTACTTAGAGGAGACCCATTTAAATGAATAAGACTCCTGAGACTAAAACTGGGTCAACCCATGCAAAGAGCATTTCTACAATAAAGCATACCTACCCATATCCTGTATATTAAGGATAAGACCTTTCCGATTGTGGCCTGCTAAGTATGGAATGCTTTCCCTGATGCCTATGCTGTGGCCTTTTTGGTGCCAGCAGAAGACCTTATTTCCCCAATCATTTTAGTCTTTAAGATGCTGTTGCTTTAAAAACTGTACACTCCTACTGGTTTTTACACTGGTTTTGTAATGCAGTTTAGACTTTTAGAAGCTTCCTATTGTGGTTTGTTGTGCTGTGTTTCATGATTTTAATTGGGAACTTCCCAGAGAGCTTCAGGTATAGAAATGCAAATATACAACATAGAAATAATGAATAAATAAATATAGCTAGTGCTATCTATATTGTTCTTGCAGATGTGCAGGAAAGGGGAACAGAGACTGAACCTGCATCAGTGGTGACAGCCCCCTCCTGCTCCCTCACCCCAACCCTTTCCAAGAGCAAGGGATGTTGACCACATCCCACCCATGTGGTACCACAGTTCCCACGTCATGAGTGCAAACTGAGGAGGAGCTTTGTAGCAGTGGCTCCCATCCCAGGGAAGTAAACACAGGAATGCCCCCAAACGTTCCAGCTTGGATCCATATGTGTACGGAAAAAAATTGCAGCAGCAGTACAGCTCTGCAAAAACATTGCACAAGCGCTAACGTAATATGCAGCACTTGGAATCTGGCCTTGAAGTAGTGCTTGAATGAGGCTAAGACTGAGCGATACATTGACCAGCGTTGCACAAGAGGCTGGGTCTTGTGGACGCAGTTTGCTGGTTCAGGATCCCAGCATTAGTGGAAAGACTTCATGCAATGGGGAAAAGACTGTAGCACGAGGAGCCTTCTGTTTGCATGGGATGGACTCTGGATCCAGCCTGTTACTTAAATACTGTTGAAGTGAAAGGCTCTCATTGTATGAGCTGATTCGCCCTGTAGGTGGGCAACTTGTGCTTCTGCAGACATTTTGGCCATCAGCTCCCATGATCCCTCACCATTAGGTATGCTGGCTAGGGCTGACAGGAATTGCAGACCAAATTATCTGAAGGCCTGCAAGTTGCCCAGCCCTTGCTTAGACAGCTGCCAGAGGAGCAGCAAGGGTTTCCACAACATCAACCTTCCTAAAGCCAAGGGTCCATTTTTTTTCTGGTTTTACTAATTAGCATGATAACATATGCAGGTCTGGACACAAGTGGCAAAACAATTTAATGCAGTCGATTCAGGTTCAGCAAAAGCAGTTGGAAATACAAGCCTAGCCAGTAGTCGCTATGTTTTGCATACACTGGGTTGCATCAAATGAACCATGAATAAAAGGAAATGCCTGCCATAAATGCTTCCATGAGAACTTGCAGAGAGCCATAACGGATTCTGTAGCACTTCTGCTGCTCCAGCCCGTGCAAGAAGAAAATGTTGATTCAGTCTCAGTGTTCGTGGGCAAAGCGCTGGTCCTTGTATGGGGGAAAGCCACCTTCTGAACATGGACAGAAGCTTCTGGATTTAAGCCTTGATGTTTTAGATTCAGTCTGGGCTGCTTCGCCTCCTGTTCCAGCAGAACGATGAAGATTGTTATTTGGGAACAGCCCTTGAAGAAGTGAAATCTAGCCCCATAATGCACTAGTGTCATTCATGGCTATCTTTCCGAACAGGCACGTCTCCCCCTCAAATGGATGGCACCAGAATCTATATTTGATAAAATCTACAGCACCAAAAGCGATGTCTGGTCATTTGGAGTGCTGTTGTGGGAAATATTTTCTTTAGGTAAGTTGCAGTATTTTAAAAAGTTAATTTACCCCATCCTACAGCCTCTTAAGGGACTGCAGGTGGCGCAGTGGTTTAAACCGCTGTGCTGCTGGGCTGGTTGATTGAAAGGTCGCCAGTTCAAAGCTGCACAATGGGGTGAGCTCCTGTTGCTCTGTCCCAGCTCCTGCCAACCTTGCAGTTCGAAAGCATGCAAATGCAAGTAGATAAAAAGGTACCACTTCGGTGGGCAGGTAACAGCGTTCCGTGCACTTCGGTGTTTAGTCATGCCAGCCACATGACCACAGAGACAGTCTGGGGACAAACGCTGGCTCCCTCGGCTAGGAAATGGAGATGAGCACCACCCCCTAGAGTTAGAGTCAGGCATGACTGGACTTAATGTCAAGGGGAAACCTTTACCTTTACCTTTAAGCCTCTTAAAAATCATAAAATATTAAAAAAATTAAAAAGTAAAAAAAATCATTAAGTTAAAAGTCTCAGAGGTGTTTATTTATTTATTTAGCAGACTTATATGCCACCCCATTCGTCTAAGCCTCGGGGCAGCTTACAAATAAATGGTATGATCCCCACACATGTCTACTCAGAAACAAGCCTCATTGAGTTCAATAAATAAGGAAATAAATATGACTTACTTCCAAGTAAGTGGGAATGGCAGGTATAGTCAATTCAACGGCACCAAATGTTTTGGATTACATTTCCCATTAGCTCTATCTGCATACTCAGTGTCTGGGGATTGTGGGAATTGTAGTCTGAAGCATCTGGAGGGTGTTGGGTCATGGATTACTGATATACCAAGATTGCAGCCTAAATAGTACATACCAAGAATGAACTGACTTCAGCCTTCAAGACCTGTTGATGTTTTTCTTGAATGTTTACTGCCTCCCAATGTGCTTTAAATATACAGATCAGGAGTTCAGTATTCAGGACTTCATAAGAATTTGTTTACAAGAATCCCAGTAGCCAGTAAGCAATCAGTGCTCCATGAGAAATGGGTCAGTGGCAGCCACTTAGTTTTCTACCCATTCCGTGTTGGATATTGTGCCAGACTGAAATGACCTGGCACATGCTTCCAGAAGCCAGAGTGCCAGAAGTGCAGTGACTTGGTGGCAGCAAAGTTAGAGGCACTGCTGTGCTCTGCATGGTAGGGCTGCACCCAGACCAAGAAGGGACAACTTAGTGTTGTCTCAGAAGTTTCTGTAGTCATTCAGTTGAGTTCAGCATCCCCTGGAGCTTCCGATTTCCCTTCTTTGATCATCATGCATTCTGAACGGATCATCCAGATTTAGGACACCCCTGGGACCAGCTGTCACTCAGTCAGGTCAGACAATGAAGCATGGTGTCTGGGAGACTCACTCAAATACCTGCACACAACCTGTTCTTGGAGCCAGTCAGCAACACAGCTTTTTGCTATGGAAACTGGGTGTCTGTGTAGCAGATCCATGGCCAGTAATTGCAGTCTTTAAAGAAATGGAACAAAAGTGCAGCATCTGAGCAGACCACCCCAGTGGGACATTGCTCCCCGATCACCAGGACTGGAGTTCTTGGCTTCCAGCCTTTCCCTGTGAGCAGCAGCAGACACAGCAAAAAGAGCGTAAGTGGGCATGTGGATCTATTTCCGCACATGCACACACAAAATGTTTTTCCCTCCAACCTGTTTGCCTTCTGTGTGCAATAGAGATTGTTGCTGGAACAAAAAATGTGGTTCTACAGAAATGCTTCTGTGTTGTTCTTTGAGTCTCTCCCAGTACACCCACTTTGCACTCATAATCTTGAAGTTACTTGCCTTGTTTAAATTGAGCACCAGGTGCTGTCTTTTTACTCTGATCCCTGGGCCCCACTTCTTGTTAACGATCCCGTCCTCCATCCACCAGCTCCAGTGGGCAACCAGCCACCCTGGCCTGAAATGGCCATGATCCAGTGAGCCTTGTCCTCTGCATGGATTGAATACATGTATAGTCTTCCTCAAGTCAGCAACCCATCTTATTCCATTCACATTGCAGACTGTGTTCTGACTCTGAACAGGAAGAGAAAGGAAAGGAAAGCTCCCATTTTAATGTATGCATAAATAGGTGGGATACTGGTGCTTTGTAGGATCTCTTGGGTGCATTGTGGTTTGGATCAGAAGCAGGAGGCACATACATGTTAGCTATTGTCAGAAAACCCCTATCTTTACAGTTTGTTTAATGTAGGCACAAACACAGGTACTGCCGATAACAAACATATGTCTCATACCATGAATCATATGACCCTTCAGTGACTCAAGTGGCAAACTACCCAAAGGGAAGGAAATCTAAAAATATTATCAGTTGTCTTGACTATCCATCTATTTAGTATCAGTTTCAATAGATCCTGCCCTTTTCTCTGCAGACAAGAATAGTATTTCAGTTAATATGCTCATGAGCCATTGAAATGGTTGCTGAGCCAGATCTAAACAGTTGTAGGAGTGTGGAGGTCAAGATAACACACAATTTGAAGGCTCCACTTTGCAGACAAAGCATCTCTGTTTGCTTTTCCCTTCCCTGAAGTGGAGGGAGGTGTATTATTTGTTTCCCAATAATTCCATTTGTGGCTGGAAAAATGGTGGATTCGATTAAATGACGATGATTACGCCCTAAGGCAAGCCCCACTGCCAGTAGCAGCAAGCACAGGTTTCTTGGCAAGGAAAGGGTGCCCATGCGGGTTTATGCCTTGTGTAAGCACAGATGCTTTATTGGGGAAGCTTAGAAAACAGCTGACCATGATAGAACTTGCGGAGGTTTTGTGATTATCTTCAGCTGTGTTTAAAGCTTTGCCCTTGCCCACCCCCAGCATACGAGATAGCACGTTCAGCAACATTTTTCTTCTGCTTTTACCATTTTTTCCTATTGCCCTCAAAGACATAGAATCCTATAACAGTAGAGTTGGAAGTGGCCGAGAAGGCCGTCTGGTCCAACCCCCTTGCTCGGTGCAGGACTCCCAGTTAAGCCATTCCTCTCAGAAGGCTGTCCAGCTGCATCTTGACTGCCTCCAGTGTAGGAGAGCCCACAACCTCCCCAGGTCGTGGGTTCCATTGCTGTACTGCTCTAACAGTCCGGAAGCTCTTCCTGATATTCAGCAGGAATCTAGCTTCCTGCAGCTTGAGCCCCTTGTTCCGTGTCCTGCTCTCTGGGATGATCAAGAAGAGGTTCTGGCCCTTCTCTGTGTGGCTGCCTTTCATGTACTCGAAGGTTGCCACAGGGCCTCCCCTCCGTGTTCTCTTCTCAAGTCTTCAACTTAATGTACAGAGGAAAGCCGCAGTGAGCAATGATGACAGATGAGACACTGTTTCTTTCCATACATTGGGATGGATGAGGAGTGGGTTCCGGAGACAACAGCAACCAGCCTCGATCACCCCTTAGAGCACACAGCATCAGGCCTGTGGCATGCTCAGCTGCAGACCAACCAGTGGCATTCATGGGGAAACTCAGGCTTAGAAATAGCCGTGGGTGAACCAGAGCGTGCCCTCACAGGCGAAAATGCTGAGCAAGGCGCCTTAATTAAAAACAAACAAACACACAAATGCCAAACTTAGGGCGCAATATTTCTTTTGCAAAACAAACAGCTGTTTTATTCAGAAAAGAAGAATGGTAAAAGAGAAAGATGCAAGGAAGAGGAATCGGTCCATGTGTGCCATTCCTTGTGCAAACAGTCTTTTGCACATCTAGTGTGTGACGTGAGGTCAGCTCTTGCCTCCAACTCAACGCTTCCTCTCCAGGAGAAGGATTGCCAGTTGAAAATCCAGGCTCAAGACCAAAAAAGCTGAAAATATCGCACCCCTCTATTAAATAAATGGAACATGCAGTGCATAAGGATTCTATGTCTAGCCTGTTTTACTCCTCTGAGTAAAATGAGTGGATTGTCATGGCATGCTAAGCCATGGGAGGGCATCTTGTAGAAAAAGTGTTGTCTAAATGTTAATAAAGAAGAAGCACTACAGATTTCTAGATTTTAGCAAGTTCTTTTTAGAATACTGCAGATGAGTTGCCAGTCACTTCAAGGTTTTCGGGCCCAGCCTAACAGGCCATTGTTAACTTGTGTCTAAGTATGTAAAGTTAACAATAATTACTAGGATTTATTTAAATTTCAGAGGAGGTAAAAGCAGTTCATTAACTTTTATATCCAAATCAACTCAAACAAATGCTTCAATTAATTTGCACTAATTGATTTCCAGAGCACCCCAAACCTATGGAAAAAGCCTGTTTCTAGGCTTACTTACCATGCAGGGTAAGATTTGAGGGAACAGGAAGGCATTGCAGCATGGCAGAAAGGGGGTAGTTAACCCTTCTCTTCCCAGATGCTATCTCCCTTGGAAATTGCCACCCATAGAGGTAATTAAGTTGAGTGGGGGGAAAGCATCTTCCATTAGCAAAAGCAGCCACTCAGGATTCCGTGGAACAGATCTGAATCCCTGGGAAACAGATTTGAGTCCAGGGCTCTACTGGCCCAGCTGTAGCGATGTCCCTGAATACACGGGTATGTGCCAAACTGTCTGAGAATATCTTTGCTCATCACACAAAAGGTGTTGAAAGCAGGGAGAAATAGATAAGATCTCTTGCTTCTTTTTGACTGAGCACATGCAGACAATGTACAAACATTGCAACAAACAGTATTCATGCATTGGAAATATCTGTGTTTTATTTTGCTGCTGTCAACTATCCAAACATAGATTACATTTCCATTATTCTCTTTTAGGTGCATCCCCATATCCTGGGGTTCAGATAGATGAAGCCTTTTTCAGCAAGTTAAAAGAAGGCATAAGAATGAAAGCCCCGGATTTCGCAACTGCGGAAATGTATGAACGCTCGTATGGCTGTACAGTATCATTTTGGCAGGCACTGCTGAGCTGAGCTGAACATTGCATGTACATAACAAAGCCCCAGCAGCCTTTGTGGGCTAAAGTGCCTTGGAAGGGGACAATATAGAGCAAAAAGTGGCGAGGACACATGTTGTTGCTTCTGCACTCCAAAGCACCCACAGTCTAGCCCAGAAGCCACCACTGGAGTTCAGATGTGTGCATTTCCTCACTAATACACAATGGGCAATCTGGCTGAGTTGCACAGATATCTTATGCAACCTGAAGAAGCATGCAGGCATCTCCTGCATGGACCTGGGGCTGCCTCAAAGGGCACAAAAAGGGGATTACCAGGCAAGGCACTCAGGAGCTCAGGACACAGTGGTTAGAGTAATACAGCATCATTAGAGCAGGTGTTGTAGCTGCTACACTCCATGGTCAGTCCTCCAAACTCATCACCTTCTTGCTTTCTGGTCTCTCTCAGTCACTTTGGAGCTCCTTAGAGGGGAGGAGGAGAAGCAACAGAGATTGAGAGAGAGAAGGGGAAGGGAGTGGGTGAAAACAGAGAATGAGGAAGGGGAGAATGGAGAGATGTACATGTGAATGGAGAGAGAGAGAGAAAGATGGAGAGAGCAAGTGGATTCCTGGAGGAGCCTATCCAGTGTCAGAGGCAGTATGTTTGTGGGGTCATGTGGGCAGCTGGTTGGCCACTTTGTGGACAGAATGTTGGACTAGATGGACCTTGCTCCATGCCAGCACTGTTTTCTTATGCTGATATGGATACCGTTTTCTGCATTCACACTGATGATGGATAGATGTGAGAAAGAGAGAGCGGTGAGAGAATATCCTTTGAGAGCTTAGGGGAGAAAAAGGATGAAAAGGCAGGAAAAATAAGGCATTGATTATCTTATGGCATAGGAAGGGTGTCATAGATGGACTGAAGGGGTGGAGGAGCTGGGTTGTCATCCCTTGATTAGATTCAGATCTGACTAGGAGAAAAGGTCTGGGGCTTTCAGGCCTAGCATCTCCTGGGGTGGGCCTCTGAAGTTCACTTTCGAGCCAGCATCCTGAATGTACAGCACATGTTCTATCTCCTGGCCTCCCTCCCCATATTTCTTCAGTGTTTTGCATAGTTCTGCACCTCCCTGGGTCAGTAATAACTCCCAAGAAGTCATAACTAGGGGGCGGGGAACTCCTCTGTCAGGAGGCCAAAATATGCATCCTCAAGAGATATCTCCCTTCCTGTTGTTTCATATATAAAACCCCAAACCCAGCTTTGGAGATTCCATCAGGCATTGTGTGCAGACTTTTAATCTGATCCTTAGTGCCAGAAAGGGGCCCCTTGTAAGCAAAAACAGGGATTCTCAAGAGATATCCAGTGATGCACATGAGTTGTAGCCCTGCCAGCATCTTCCTTGTGTTCAGCCAGCACAAATGCCTGATGGGTTTTATGGACAGCTCCACCACGGGGAAATTACTGGGTGGGTGTTTCTGGGCCTGGCTCTTGTGGGAGGCTGCGTCAAAAGAAAAGAAAGAACATCCGGAGAGCTGGGTTTTTTGCAGACCATCAAAGGTTATCAGGAACTGGGATGCAAATATTTCTGCAGAGAAGCTGAAGAAGCTGCTGATACGTGACCGTAGTGGAGAAGGCTGATGCTGATGGTTTGATAACCAACTTCTAATGCATAAAAGCATGTTATGAGTAGGGGTGTATCCAGGCCTTGGAGGAGGAGAGATAATGGGCTTTCACTGAGGTAGGAAAGATTTTAGATATTAATGCAGTAGGGATTTTCCTAGTCCCAAGATTAGTCCGGCAAATGAGCAATTAAGCCTTAGAGCCTTATGGAGAGCTTAAGGAAAGGTTTGTTGATGGTTTATCTGTGCAGGAAGAAAGAAGGGAAAGGGAAGAGCTTTCAGTATAACTGCAGGAGTCCTTTCTTTATTTAAACAACTGCCTCTTGTGCACCCTGTTCAGAACCTAAATGCCAGGGGGAAATGGCTAAATAAATGATATAACTTAAATGTACACAGCTCAGGCTTCCCCAGCCTGGAGCCATTGCTGGCTGGGGATGATGGGCATTGTTGCCCAGCACATCTGGAAGACATCAAGTTGTGGGAAGCTGGCTTAACTCCATATAGATCACTGAAGTACTGCAGACATCTGATGTGCTCTCTAGGGCATTGGTCTTCAGCTGGTGGGTCAGGACCTACAAGTACTGCACTCGGCTAAAGTATAAGAAGGCTGCCACTAGTACCATCACTGCTTTATTTCCATTTCTTTTTTCATTTCCTTTTTAATTGAAATAAATGTCTCAAGAAGTTAAAACATGCATTCCTGAAGAGAAAGCTATAAAAGGCAGAACTTTACCCTCTCTATGATGCTTAACTGTTCAAATTGTCTGTAACCCAGGGCCAAAGAGTTTGTTATAAAAGAGTCTATTTAATGTACTCAAATGTATCCAGGAGATCTGGATTCTTGGCTCCACAAAGCCAAGACACTTGCTGGATGACTTTGGCCAGTTGCAGACTGTCAGCCTCACAGGGTTGTTGTGTGAATAAATTTGAGTAGAGGACTATGTTTGCTGTGGGTCCCTCCCAAAAGAGGAAAAGATGGGCTGTTGTTGTTGTTTAAAAGTTATTAGTGCCTTTTAAAAAGCTCTATCATTGTTATTTTCCTTTCCTCCATTTCAGTTTTGGACTGGAACAGTGCTAGGTTAAGATATCAAAACAGAGAGAGGAAAAAGAAAGATGGAGAAAGATTGTATGGTATGGTAAATAGTGAAATGTTGCAGGCTGGGTTTAAAGGTGGACATATGTAATTAACACTCCTGTGTTGCAGCTTTCCAGAACTGAAAGTGGAAATAATTGTTCAAAGGCAAAGCAGAGCAGAAGTAAGGCTGATCATACATGTTATTTCACCACCATCTTTGCTTTTCGCAGATATGAGATCATGCTGGACTGTTGGCAGGGTGATCCAAACAGAAGGCCGAGGTTCTCGGAGCTCGTGGAAAGATTAGGGGACCTACTTCAAGCAAGTGTACGACAGGTAGGAATGTCCAAGAAATCTGCAGTGGATTCAGATGAGTTATTATTTCTGTGGATTGAACAACAGGCCAGCTTTTTCTGAGTTACACTGATTTTCAGACCATTTTTTAAATACCACCCCCCCTGCTTTTTTGGTGGGGCAATTTTCAAAATGTGTTCATTTCCAAATGTGCACTCATGCTGGTGTATCTTTGAAAGTTAATGGAATTCCCATACAAAAATCTGATTCCATCAATGAGTGGATAGTGGAATGAAACATACCTGGCAATTCACAAAACACAGGCAAAACAGATTTAACAATATGAACACCCCTAGCAAGGGAACGTTGTCTGAAGTGGCACTGTCCTATCTTAACTGTACCATGTGAAGATGCTGAATGTAGCAGCAACATGATCAGAGGACTAAACAGCCTTAAACTACCATGTTTAAGCATGGTAGATCAGACTAAAAACATGCAGCTAATTTTTCAACCTGCCTTACCCGAGCAGTGTATGTGTGCCCTGCATTGTTTACATACTATTCTTGTATCCTGATTTTTATGCACTTAGGATGGCAAAGACTACATCCCTCTGAATACTATACTAGCAATGGATACTGGACTTAATTCCTCTCCAACTTCCTTTAATTCTCATAAGAGAGAAACTGATTCAGTGCCAGTTTTCAATAATCCAAGCACAGAAAATATCAGGTAAGAAGGAACAGCAAGATGATTGATGGATAAGAGCTTGATGAATGCCAGGGTGTGTTGGGTGCCAGAGAGAGAAAGATGCAGCTAGATGAGCATTTTTATGACAATACAAAGAGCCCTGCTGGATCTCAACAAAGTTCCACCTGCTCCAGAGCCTTGTTTCCCACAGCAGCCAAGAGAAGGACTCCGGGAAGGCAACAGACAGAGCTTGAGGGCAATTGCCTTGCATCTTACAATGGCTCCTAGCAACTAGTATGTAATGGCCTCTGAGGGTTCTTTCCCACCATCCTGCCCATCAATTGACTTATTTGTCCACTCACATTTTTCAGTAGAAGCCTTGAGATGCTTCTACTCTTAGAGACGGCCTAAAGATCTTCTAAAATTTAGAAGATGGGTTCTATAGCATGGGGTCAGTCTGCCAGCAGAAGGGAACCATGGGCAGAAATAATTTCCCCTCATCCCTCCTGTAGCCTCTGTGCATTCCCCCAAATCTGCTCTAGGGGATTAGAAAACCGCTGGAGGACATTTGGGACACGGGCAAGTGGGGAGAAGACAGGGAAATCCTGCTGTACAAGCATACTTCTGTTTACATATATCCAATTTAGATCTTCAGTCTAACCCTAAACTTTCTGTGGCAGCAAATTCCATAATTAATGTGCTGCAATTTTTATTGAACCAACAGTAGGGTTTGTAATACAGTGGAAACTCTTAGGAAACATTTGACTCTTTTCAGGTAGAAATGGAAAGTGTGCAGCTAACTTAATTGCACATGTAACATTACTTAGGCACAGTTGTTATGTGCCCTCAAATCATCTCTGGCTTATGGAGACACTATGAATGAAAGACCTCCAAAATGTCTTGTCCATGGCATCCCTGCAAAGCTCTTGTAAATTCAAGCTTTATGCAATGAATCCACCTCATATTTGGTCATCCTGCTTGAACATTACAGGGGCTTTTTATCCGTGATGTCAGTCTCACTGAAAGCAACAGTCTGTACATTTGCCTTCACACAGGTAGCAAAAGTGCATCTCTCCTGAATTAAGCAAAGTATCCCTCATATTGCATTGAGTGTTAGGCTTTGATAAAGATGGATCAACAGGTTTTCCCCCCTTGTAGTTGGTTTCAGGTCACCTTGCGACAACCATGCAAAAATGGCCAATGCATGATCAAGACTTATTCAACAGGTAGTGAGACTGGGATTAGTAGTGACATTTTCTTGGTATTTATGAATTAAATATTTTTAACCCAACTTTCAGAGCACGCTGTCATTTTAGAAAGGTTACAGCAGGAGTGGAGAATCTGGGGCCCTCCAGGCATTTCTGCACTAAAGACATTTCTGCACAGAAATCATCTGTGACCAATGTTCATGTTGTTTGAGCTGATGGAAGTTGGCATCCAGTCCCACAACTGGAGGGCCAGTTTCCCCACCCTTGGGTTACAGGAAGTGCCTTGTGGGGCAAAGCAAGCAGGCATCAGGTTCTGCTTCCAAGCCAAGTCAGTTGCCTCTAAGTCGCTCATTGGCAGGCTAGGAAAAAAATAGCCCTGAGGGGATATGAAGTTGTTTTGGCAGTAGTAACTATGCAGCATCAGTAAAAATTAGGGGAGTTGCTGTCTCGAATGTAGCTTGTGATCATTCCCTTCTTTACTAGTGAAGGACACTTGAAGTTAGAAGTTTGCCCATGCTGGGGGACAATGTGTTCTGGTGTCCACAAGGAGCTTGTTATGCAGAGCTGGTATATTTGGAGTTCATCTAAGAAAGTCTTTCCTCCATTTTCCCTTTTAAGGAAATATGCTAATCCCTTCAGAATGAAGCTGCCTCAGAGGGTCAAGACCTTTGAAGAACTTTCATCCAAGGGCAAAACTAAACATGATGTAAGTCACAGTCAGCCTCCACAAATGTGAGGTGCATCGTTTGCTGTTTTGGATTCAGGCCTTGTACTACTGATGCTTTGCTTTGATTTTGTGGAAACAACAGATTATTCTGCACTTTGGAAAATTCGTACATGGAAAAATCATACATGGGTATGCGTTTACTAAATGTATTTCCAAAGTTTCCACTAAAAGCAGTGCACTATGCAGCTAGCATTGGCATACAAGTAAAATTAAAACTATAATTCAAATATAAAAACATTTATTAGGAACAGATCCATTGAAACACATCAATTAAATTAAATAGAAATTAACAGCACCCTCCAGATTAAACTGTACCTGCAACAATTAGCATAAAACCCCAAAACCTGTCTGAACAAAACATCTTTGCTTACAAAGACCGGAGGGATGGAGGGATGGCCTTCCTGGGCAGGGAATTCCAGAACCTGGAAAGAGCCACCCAGAAGGCATTCACTTGCCTGCCAGACAAATGTACCTCCACGAGTTGGGTCAGAGGTCTTTCACCAAGGATCTTAAAGTCCAGGCAGGGCCATATGGGAGAAGAGCTTAGCTTTGTCCCAAGTTCCCATAACTAGCCATAAGCAAGTGTCTGGCTGCAGCATTCTGGACTAGCTGAAGTTTCTGGATACTTTCCAGAAGCAGTTCCTGGTACAGCATATTATGGGAACCCAAAAAAGATGGAAGTAAGGTGTCACTTAGTATTGGGTTCCTAACACACACAGCAAGTGTAGCAACTTTGAAGGGAGCATTGTTTGTTGCTTATTAAGGTGCAAAACGCTCAAGGTGGATGGAGAGAGAGTGTTCATTCTGCAGGGACCTCTGGGAGGGGTCAGTGCAATGCTGGGTTTTTCCTTTGCAGGCACACTAGAGTTTGACAGGATTTTGGGAACTAAGGTATTAATTTCACCTTAGATCATCCTTTCTCCCTTGAGCTCAGTATAGGCAGGTGCAGATGTATATTAAGGATTATCTGATGTCCCAAAAAAGAGGGTGCACATCACTAAAGGAAGAGGTCATAGATTTGTATAAAATTTGCATATGTAAATGTGTATCTAGAGAACCACATTTTAAAATAATTTAAACAGAAATAGAAAACTTCTCACAATCGAGGGAAGACTGCAGCCAGGTGAGCTGAGCACCTGTGCCCTGGCCCTGCCCTGCCCTGCCCTGCCCTGCAGCTCTCCCTTCAACGGTTCGTGGTGCTTTAAAGCAGACCTGGCCTGGGGAGCCGTCAGGTACAAAATAATGTGCAGGGGAAGGTGTGGAGAGGACAAATGATACCCCACCCATATTGGACTGGACACAACTTGGGGAGAGTTGGAGATCTTTTCCGAGCCAGTCTGACTTCTGGAAATGGTGCTTCCACTTGGATCCTACAGATACTCACCCTGCCGCCTCCACCACCACCCAGCCGGCCACCCTCCTATTTCTCTTGAAAGGGCAGTCGCACTGCAGCCCTGGTGAGGGGAGGAGGGAGTAGGAAGAGCAGATCTTGATGCCACTCCTGGGAAAACTGCAGTCCCCACAGGCCTCTGGGGCTGTCCTGCTTTAAGCAGCATGCCAGAGAAGGCAGCAAAATCTGAACTCATGGGGCTGCTCTGCATGGGAGCTTCATCCCGCTGCTTGACGGAGATTTCTTCTTCCATTTCGGTTGGGGTGGGAAAATGTGCCCATTGCTTGGGTTCTTCCCTCCCTGCCTCCCAGGGTTGCCTCTCTATATATTCTATTAACCAATCACAAGATGATGTTGTGGAACAGGTATAGCATAGCACAAATGCAACTCTACATGAGGTTTTTTCCAGTATGAACTTTAATAGCTGACTTTCTTCACTCAAAATATGGAATGGAATGGAAACCCCTGTGGAAATGGCTTGAAAATATGCAGAAGGCCCTGGAAAGCAGCAGCACCATGAAAAGACCCCTCAAACTTCAAGAGCGCACAATAAATGCCTTGTGTGGAGAAGCCTCCGCCCTCCTTTTCCCCCTCTCCTTTTGCTGCTGCCCCATCACGATGGCTGGGAAATTTGAGCGGAAGGGAACAAGACGCTGGAGCCACTGGGAAAGGAACTCGTGATGGAGTGGGATTTTTCTTCTTCTGGACCATATTTTTTTCTTTTTTAAACTGAGCCAGGAAAAAATTGGGGACTCAGAAAGCTCACGTCTTCCTTGAGGCAGATCTTTGAGTCCTGGAGTTTGTATTTTAATTTCACTGCTCAGGGAACTTCCCTGTATCTCCTGCCTAATATGAATGATGAACCCATGAAGTGCAAGTCCCGCCTGGTTATCAGATACCAATAAGGAAAACAAATGGGGATCATAATTATCAACTGTTTTCTCAATCATCTTCCAAAACAAGAGTAGAATTTTTCTTTCCTTTCCTTCTCTTCTGGGCACATCTGATACAGTTGTCTTCCTTGCACTAATACATTACTGCTGCTTTATGAAAAAGTCATTTGAAGTATATAATCAGGGTGCAGTAAGGGCAGTGCTTGTGGGTACGTAGGGTAAACCTTATTCTTAGCAGAGATGCTGAAGCCATCTGCAGCCCCACTCAGAATTCCCTTCCTTTAAATGTAGTGGCAATACTCTATATGTATGTAAATGTAGTGACATCACATAGCCCTAGTGGCCTAATGGATAAGGCACTGGCCTCCTAAGCCAGGGATTGTGGGTTCGAGTCCCATCTGGGGTGAACTTTTAACTATTAGTAGGAAATCATCGAGATGGTGGCCAGTGACAAGCAGGGTCCCCCAGGGCTCTGTCCTAGAACTGATCCTGTTCAATCTTTTCATCAATGACCTGCAAAAGGGGGTGACCAGTGTGCTGATCAAATTTGCAGATGATACTTAAATGGGGGCAGTGGCCACAACTGAGGAGCAGGTACTCCAGATCCAAAAGGATCTGGACAGACACTGGAAGTGGGCAGGAGACAACAGGATGGTGTTCAATGTGGATAAGTGCAAGGTCTTGCACTTAAAGCATTGAAATAGGTGTTATAAGTACAGGTTAGGGGACAAGTGGCTGGAGAGCAGCACTTGTGAAAGGGACCTCGGGGTGCTGGTTGACTGCAGGCTAAATAAGAGTCAGCAGTGTGATGCGGTGGTCAAGAGGGCGCACGCCACCCTTGGTAGCATAGCCAGAAGTGTGGCTTCTAGATTGGGAGAGGTATTACTACCACTCTATACGACTCTGGTGCACCCACAACTGGAGTACTGTGCTCAGTTCTGGGCTCCATATTACAGGAAGGATATAGCCAGGTTGGAATCGGTGCAGCATAGGGCCACAAGGATGATGGCCGGATTGCAGAGAAAGCCATATGAGGCAAGACTAAGGGAACTGAGTCTTTTCAGCCTGGAGAAGAGGAGACGCAGAGGGATCTGTTGGTGACATGTAGGTACATGAGGGGTTGTCACAGGGAGGTGGGTAGAGGCCTGTGTTCCCCTGCAGAGGAGAGCAGGATGCATTCCAATGGAGCAAAGTTCAGGGAATGGAGGTTCAATTTGGATGCCAGGAAGTACTTCCTGACAGTTATGACCCCGAGGGTATGGAATGGACTTCCATGGGAGGTCGTTGAGGCCCCATTGGTGAGGGTGTTCAAGGCTGGACAAGCAAATGGTAGGCTTGTCTTGAGCGCAGCCGGCTGGAGTCAGGGGTCAGACTAGATGGCCCAAGAGGACCCCTTCTGACTCACTCTGTTTCTACTCACCATGGGAATAATTTTCCCAGCAGCAGTGCATTGGTCTGGTCATGCAAGGTGCTTGGGCTTGCTCTTGAACGGGCAATCAAGTCCCATGAGCTGTACAAATGACTGGATCCTCGTACAGAGGAAGCTGCTTCTTTGGTGACAAGGATTATTAACACAGCTGCCTGGATTTTTTTTTCTTTTTTACTTTGCTTGGGAGGGCTTGGGGGCTTCATACTGAGTGCCCTTACTTCAGAATTTACTGCGCCACTATCTATAATACAGATTTGAAATTCAGCAAAACTCATACCGGTGATGAGTTATTCAAGTTAGGTCTGTCATTGTCACAGACATGGCTAGTTGAATGACTAAAGCTGCATTTTTTTCCAGGATTACCAAGGGGACAGTGGAATAGTGTTGCCTTCAGAAGAACGGAAACGTTTTACATGGACAGGCAGCAAGCAAAAGCAGACTTTCTTTGGGTATGCAAGTCAAACTGTGTCTTATTCATTCATTGACTGAACGGGCTGACCCATCACAGCAAGCGATACTGCCCGGTCCCCACCCTGCACTTTCTTGCATGGATGTGCCTGGAGCACAGTCAGGCTTAGCCTGCTAACTCGCCCTCTTCCCTCCACCAGTCCCTTCCCTCTCTGTCCTCCAGGTGATATCCGAGGAGGCACCACTGGGAGGAAAGGAGCTCCTTGCCGCGACGCCTGTGCTTGCAGGCCAGCCTCGGCTTGCCACAGCTGTCAGGCGGCCTCTGCTGAGCTCATACCCCAAGGTGCAGCGGACAGGGCAAGGGGCTAGTCAGACACCCGCCCCTCTTGCTGCAGGGGGAACAGCTCAAGCAGGAATGGTTCCCTGGTCCATGCCCAGGTGGAAATGGGCAGGGGGAATCCTCTGGGCAGCGTGCCAAGGGACGGGGGGAATCCACTGAGCAGTGCTGCCCAGCTGCTGCTCTCCGCAGCTGCTGGCTCCTGACAAGCAACACAAGGCAGTGTGAGCGAAGGGGAGGCATGGGGGAACTGCTGTGGCACGTGTCTCCCGCCCAGGCACTGCCACCACCAAGCTGCCTCTCGCCCTGCTGCATGCAAGAGGGGGGTGTTGCTCGGTGCGCTGCCCCAGCCGGGCACCGTGGCCTCCACTAGCGCAGGCGCAGCGGTTGGGAACCAGCTTAGTGGCACTGCTCTTCTCCCGGCATGATCACCTGCTCCTGCCCAGAAGAAGAGAGGGCAAGAGGCAGTAGGAATGGGACACCCCAACAGTTGTGCCGAGTGGCAGCTATCACTGGTGTTCCCTGCTCAGTGGCTTCACAAGAGTGGCAACAGGTTGCTCTTGCCAGCAGCTCTGTGGGCCTGGCCTTGGTGCTGCACTGAGCTGTGTTTTCTGGTTTGCATGACACAACAAGCAATCATGGTGCAGAGAAGCCTATTGTTTCTGTCCATGTTTTCTTAAATCCAAATGTACCATGCTGAAAAGCTACAATGGGCTTGGAGGGCATGACAGACCAGAATAGGTTAAAAAAAAGGCTGCTGCTTGTCATGTTATGCAAACCTGTCCACTATCTACAGATGCAGCTAGTGTCATTCAGGGCTCCCACTGTTAGTCTTTTTAAAGGAAGAACTTTAATATCTGAATCTGACCAGAACTATCATGATGGATAAGGGGGTGGGGGATAACCCTCCCCTTTAGTGGAATTTTCCTGAGGAAAATCACCCCCAAGCTTCTATTTGCCCCATAAAGCATGCCTACAAATATTATACATCTGTATACCTAGCAGCACGGAGCAAATATTGGTACATCAAGAAAAAGGCTTTGAAAGGGGAGGGTTCAGTCTCCACCCCACCGCAGTGCTACCGTCCTGGTTGAATCTGGTGCCTACCTTGTGGCTGCTGTCCAACTTTCGAAAACATGCGGTCCAGTCAAAGGTTTCCAGCATCACATCTAATTTAGCCTTAAGGATGGGGTGTGTTGTTGGTACGCAAGAGAATTATCTCACACTATTCTTATTCTTATTATTTCTGCAGAGCCCTATAGCCAAAGTTCTCTGGGTGGTTCAGAACAGTTCATAAAATACAAGCCACAAATACAAATCATGCAATTTTAATCTGTAAAATTAAAAATTAAAACATCTGAAAATAATTTCAGTAAAATACTAGCCATTTTAAAAGACAGCTTACATAAATTCCCCACCATATGCCATTATATACTACTAAATGCCTGGGAATAGTGGGCACTAAAAAGATGAGAGGGCTGGTGTCAGGCAGGCCACAGTGGTAAGACCATTCCATAAGCAGGAGGCCACTGCTGAGAAGGCCCTGCCTGGTTGCCACCCTCAGAGGATCTGAGGCAGCACCTGGAGAAAGGCCTCAGATAGTGATTGTAGTGCCTGGGTACATTTTTACATAAGTCCTGGCTGTTTGCTGAAACAGTGTTATTTGTATCCTGACTTGCAGAATTTGCTGGTTTCAATTGCTTTTCACACCCCTATTCTTTCAGTATTGCCTCCATTCTCAGTATCTCAAAGGTTCAAAATAATGATTGGGTTTGCACGACACAGCAAGAAACCATTGATAGTTTTCAAGAAATCCTTGCCATATTGTCCAAGCAAACCCAGTGGTGGTGATGTACCATTTTAACTCATCGTGGCTGAAAACCACAATAAGTAACAATGGTCTCTCCTTGGGTTTCTTCCCACCGTGATTGCTTGTTGTGTCATCCGAACTCAGACAACTCAACCCACCATGGAAAAGGCCCCAGCACAGAGAGCTGCTAGCCAGACAGCCTTCCAGCAGCACTGCCCAGCTGATTTCCTCCTTGTGCCTCATCAGCTCCCCATCCTCTCTGAGGTGCTTCAGCACATGTGCCTTTAGCACAGCAGACACTCTGAAAACCACAGCAACTCAACAGCAGTTTGTAATCGCAGCTGCCAGAGAGAGGAGCCTCATTCCTCCTCACAGGGTCCCCTAGGAAACTGCTGGGTGGAATGAGGAGGAAGGGGGTGGGAGAGGAAGGAGAGCTACCGCGATGGGCCTTATTGTCCGTCCAGCCTCCCCGGGCTGATTGGCACTTAAAGGCAACCCACTGTGGTGATTCATCGGGATGAATTGCTGTTCTGTGGAAACCCACCCAATCTGGCAACGGATCTGCGTGCAAAAATGTTAATGAAGCTGCTGTGGATCTTTCACTGTTTCTGACTATTATGCCAGCCTTGAAAAGGAACCCCTCAGACAAAGGCTCTATCCAGCTTCTGTAACTTGCACAATGGGCATTGTCAGTTGTGCTGGCTCTTCTACTCAGAGTGCCCAAGGGAGCACAGCAAGGAAACGCACACAGTCATACCGATCCCATCGAGTGAGGGCTGTGTGGAGTTTGCTGCAGAGCCCCCCCCTGCGTGAATAGGCTTTTGGCACTGCCCAGCACTCTCTCGAGTCATCTAAATTGGAGCCAGGTGCAGTGGGTGGTGGTGGTGGGCGGGGGAGTTTGCTCTCAACGGCCAAAGCTACGTTCCAAGGGGAGCACTCTCCGGCCGGCATGTTTGCCCTTCCCTTTCATGACTCAGTGCAACAGAGACCCACCTGGAGCACAAGGGTTCAGGATGCTAAAATGGCAGTGTGACAATGGAGGGATGCACGCACGTCATCTCTCTTCCTGTTCTCCTGCGTTTTATGTTAGCAACCTTCCTCTGCCTGGCTTCTGTCTAGGGAATAAGGGCATGCTAATGACAGAAATTTAGCAGAAGCTATTTCTTAGTGGTGAGTGGATATTCAGGAAGTTGCTGGTCTAAAAAAGCATAACTGATCCTTGCATTTGGCCTGAAAGATCCAGCAGCTCATGTGCCAAGCAAGCGCGCTCTGTGTGGGAGAAAGAGGACACCACCTCGGGTGGAGAATTAGGTCACTGATGGCTATGAACTGTAATAGCTAAATGGACCCTATCTGGAGAGAGGCTGTCTCTCCCATTTTCAGCTACTGTGAACAAACGGGGCACTCAGCTGCCTTTCCGTGAGCTTCTGGGGGCTTGCAGCTGACTGCTGTTAGAAACAGAATGCTCCACCCCATGTTTGCAATACTGTTCTCTCATGCGCTGCAGCTGAACATGGAGGTTCCATTCGCTGGTGTGGCTAAGTTGGGTTGACCTCTTTTTGTGAATGTGTGTAACACTTCTATTATTTTGCAAAGTGGTCTGAACTGGGGGCCCACTGAAGGGTGATGGATTCTGTACGTTCATTAGCAGAACTATGTTTGGTCAGCCCAGGAGGCCTGTCTAGTCCACCCATCTGTTTATCCAGTCAGCTTGGTGTCCCAGCAGGGCATAAGTGCCACAGTGCCTTTCTGCTCTCGTCCCCCAACAACTGGTACCTGGGGGCCGAGTGACTGAAGAGAGGGCCCTCATCAGTAGCAGCCAGTGATAGCCCTCTCTTCCATAAAGCACTTCTCTAATGGGGTTCATTTACTTGTATTAGTCATATTTTTCTAGTTACTGCTATTGACATGATTTTAAGATCTAATTTACAGAATTTTCTGTGGTTGCTGTTTTCAAAGCTATGCAGTGTGTGTGTGTGTGTGTGTGTGTGTGTGTGTGGCAGATACATAAAGTTGTGAGTGAGGGGATAGCACTGCAAATGGAAACAGAACTGCATCACTTCTGAGTTGAAAGGGCTGAATTGCCTAGCTTTTAATTTAGCTAGGGTTTACAGGCTAAAGTTTTGAACTTTGGCTGCAAGCTGACCAGTCAAAAAGGCCATTGGCTGCTCCGAGTCCCTCTAGTTCTGCATTTTTCAGTTGAGGGCTAGACTGGTGATCCACAAGGGCAAGGACTGCTGGTTGATGGATGTTTAAGTGCACACACACACCCATGCATGAGTATCCTGGCCTGAGGGGATTTTTTGCTGTGTTCTGAAATCACATTTATCACACTTGCCCTTTAAAAAGTGCATCCTATGCTCAGGTTACTATTCTTTGGAACATTCTTTCTGTTGATATTTTCACTGGACTATTCACTCCTTTGCAATATTTTTCTTTTTTCTGTGTGGTGTAAGGCCTCCAGTATCAACCCAAGTAGTTGCATACAGCTTTATTTTACAGAGAGAAATAAGTGGCTAAGAACCTACCCTACACATTCATCGTGCCCCTGTGTTTCCTTACAGCCTCCTTTCTGGCAGCAGAAGCAAAGAATCTGTCCTTTCTGACACAACCAAGTCGAACATGTACAGTTTCAGCTGCAGCCATATCAGCGACGTGACTCGGCCATTTACCTGTGGCAATCTAACATGGGAAGGGAAGCCAGTACAGGGGTTTCTTCCTCCGAGCTATACTTCTGTGGTTCGGTATTCTACTCCACCAGTTTAAAACAGGATTTCTCCAACTTCTCAAAGCAGCTGCAATTCCCTGTTATCACCATTTTAATGCTGAACAGTCCTTACTGATCCATCACCACCACTTAGAGCACAGAGGATTCTTTCCATGAAGCACCGGGAGCACCTCTGCTCTGCCCCGGTGGATCATCTACTGGGGTGTGCCTTGCTCCCTCCAACAATGGGACTTTTAAAGTGAGCATGTGCAGGAAGAGAGAGAAGGCTTGCTGAGTGGACTGGGGGAGTGTGTCTCTGTAATATTTCCTTCCTGACAGCAGACTTTTGCACTGGTCCCACACTACCAAAGGGTGTAGTAACACTGGCTAGACCAGAAGCAGCCTTTAAACGAGTCTAATCAAGTCTATTGCCAAAAGAGACTTTTTCTAACCATGTGTCTGAGCACTGCTCCATAAGTACTTCTGCCTTTTAGCCCAAAACACACACATTTCATCAACATGCATCTGGGGGATGGTGCTTGCTCCTCAAGGAACGCCTGAAGGATTGCAAAAACTTGCAAAAGCAGTTCAGCTAGATGTCACAGTAGGGACACAAAAATGAATGCAAGATTTTAGCCTGCCTCTGAAACCTATCCACACTAAAAACATTGGTTTTAATACAGTATCATCTAGCATGCCCCCCTTACTTACACACACACACACACACACACACACACACACACACACACACACACAGAGTTTGGGGATTTTAGTTTGGGAAAGGTGCTGAAATGCCTGTTATGACGACTTCCTTGTCCCACCCATCCCATGCCCAAATGACAGCTTGCAGGGAGAGGGGAAAAATGAGTTTTCTGTAAGCAAGTGAAATCTGTGGATGGTTTGGTGGAGGGCAGGGTTACAGTTTGCAAAGAGATCCCCAAAGAAATACTCGGGAAACTTTTTAAATTGCAGTTAACTGCGGGGATCATACAGAGTAAGGACTAGAACACTTCATTATTGCTACTGTAAGGTTTTGTATGCACCCATACAGCAAAATTCTGGAAGAGGTGGCCCTGTCCTGTCTCAGACCAGGGACAGGTGAGGCATGGCTGAGTATCTTACAGCCATTTTGAGGTTTCTTTATATGAGGCTTTTAACCAGCTCCTTTACTGAGGTTTTTGCTTCCAGAGTCTTGGCTTCTTCACACGTTTTTCCCTCCAGAATTTTTCTTTCTGTCTTTCTGTATGTTTTATAGCACAACTACAGGGTAACATTGCAGTATACCAGAATTGCAAACATGCACGAACTTTTCATGAGTGATTTCTAAATCATACAGACTTTCTTCATGTACAAAAAGCCATGAAAATGGCTGAGGGTGCAAGAAATGCTCTGGAGGGTGAAGACATTGTGGGAAGCACCTACAAACTAGTAAGAGAGGAACATGAGCACCAAGTAAATGCCTCATGTAGAAAAGCTCTTGATTCTCACAGCCAACAGCTTCACCTCAGTTTTCAATTGCCACCACACTATTTAAGTGTGAAATCTGGTACTGAGGGTGGAACACAGTTTGCTGGGAATTTCAGCTGCCTCTTAGCAGACAGAGACAGACATTTCTAGTATTGGTTGCAGATAGGCTGGAAATTTGCAAGAAAATCCCAATTAAGATTTCAAAGTCACTAATAAGATTGGTTAAGCAGATTATCTCTGGGTGGTGCGGAAATTCAGTAGCCCGCATAGCGCTTTACCTTGCCGCTAACTGGTGCAACATTTACACTGGCAAAATAAAGATGCACAATGTGGATTAACAAAGGTATTCGCACATGTTTTTCTTGATACAGAATTTGGGATCTTAATTTCAAATATATAGATTCTTCTTTTAAAGAAACAGAATATACCATTCTATATTTATCTATTATACTGCATTCTGCTTTTATACTCCCAGTTGCAAGTGACAGCACGCTTACACGTCATGCCAAACGGCTGCAGTTAATGGAGAGTTAAACCAGTGTGCTGGCACAGCTATGCGTATAGAATGGGAAGGCCAGATAAGCTTTGTCTGAAATACCTGCTGAGTCTAGTCTTATTGCTGCTATTACTGTATCATTTATGAAGTGCTAAAACTGTGCTGCTACATTTGTTTATGTTAAGGGGTGAATAGTATAACTGAGAACCATTGTTTTGGTTTAGTAGTAAACTGCTGTGATGGATGCTCTATAGAAATAGCTAATATTGATGATTAATTATGAAAGCAATGAAACACAGGTTGTCATGCTTCAAGGGTCATACTTCTAAAGACACATGTATGGAATTGCCATTAGGTGCAGGAGCATTTTACAACACTCATTTCTAAAAACCATATGCTTGCGTTCTTTGTATTCTTTATTAAACAGAAAAGCACTGGCCAACCTCTGAGACAGTTTACCTAGAGCACAAAACTATGGCCACTGAATGCTGTCTAGAGGGCCACATTGCGAATCCCAGCTCCAGCCCTGGAAAAACAGCCTGAGGTTGGAGCCGGGGCTCCAGATGCAGAGTGCCTGCCCTTCCTTCCCCCTTGTTGCCAGCACAGTTCTTTCCACATGAGCTGTAGCCCCAAAGTCGCAAGTGCAACTTCAGAGCTGGCATGACGGGGGGGCATCCAAGGGGGTATAAGGATCCCAGCAGTGCCTCAGACCCTCCTCCTCTTGAGCAGGGATGGCTGATATTTTTGAAGGCAAGGAGAGCTCTCTTCCTACCTTCCATGGATGCCCATAACTGCCTGGATTTGGAGAGTTTTCTAAGTAGGGTATTCAGAGTCATCCGTATTTAAAAGTCAAGATCTAGTGCTTCCAATGAATCTTTTAAAATGAGAATTTAAAATTATTCTTCGAAGTGAAGTTACTAATGAAAACTGGATGTACATAACTTATTCCTGCACCTTAATTTTTAATCTGTTTTTATGTGTGTTTTCTAAATTTTCACAATAAAAGACATTTCCAAATTTTGTTTGTTGTTTTTCTTGCATTAATACTAATGTCCCAGAACTGTAGGGGGTGAGAAGAACGGCTGCACTGGGGAATCGTTCCCACGGACAGCAGGCTCCAGTTCAAAAGATTCAGAATCAGAATGTGAAGCAGGTCAAGTGGGAACTGAGGAGGATGGAACATGCTGAAACACTGAAGTGAAAGAGGTTGTGCTTATCTCAAGGGAGGGGGAAGTCTGGGAGGGGTTCTCAGGCAGAGACCAGACCCCCCTGCTTCTTGACCCCTTTGATGAGGCATCCACGGAGGCAGATGACCCAATTGAATTGTTGCTGTGTGGAGAGGGGGTGTGCTCACTTTCAGGGAGCCCCCCCCCCCCGGAGGGATGGGGCCCAGGCATATTCTTAAGGAGAGTTCTTGGAGGTAAACACTAGATTGGGTTCAGCAAACTGCTCTGTGCATGCTCAGAGAGGCATTCTGGGGGATTTCTTCTTTGGAAGCAATAAAGGAGGTTTTGCAAGGAAAACGGACTGTGGCTTTAACTGCTTGAAGGAGGCTCCTCAGCTTGCGACAAGAAGCATATTGTAGGATGAATCAGTCTTGTTTCAAAGCAGAAATGTAAAGTGGCGTTTTAGCGTAGTAGCCAAAATATGTTAAGACTTCTCAGAAAACTCAGACATTACCCCAAGGACAGTAAATTCATAGTGAACTACTGATAAGGTTATCTGTAGATGCTCTCTTCATTCTGTGGATTTGTTGGCCCTTTACTGAAATTAAATTCGCACATCTATTCTCCATGGTTTTTGTGCAGACACACACCATACATGGGATACTGCAGCTGTGAAAAGAATGACAGGTTGCTTACCTTTAACTGCAGTTCTTTTGAGTATCGAGGCATTAACACAAACAGCTAAGCACTAAACGGCTTGGGTCCTGGTTACCTGAAGGAGTGCTTATATCCATATATGCCCGCCCGCCCCCCGAGATCTGCAGGAGAGGCCCTTCTCCAGGAACCCTCCATGAAGGAAATTAGGAGGGTGAGTACCTGGAGGAGGGCTTTCTCTGCGGTGGTGCCCAATCCATGGAATGCGCTCCCCAGAGAGGTCTGCCTGGCACCGTTGTTTTTTGGTGCCAGGCGAAGACCTTTTTATTCAAATGTCATTTTAACTGTTAATAGTATTTATTTTATTCTTTGGCCAGGGCGACTTAATTTATACTGTTAATTTATATTATTTTAACGACGTTTATTTATGTCTGTGAGCCGTCCCGAGGCTTCGGCGAATGGGGCGGCATAGAAGTTTACTAAATAAAAAAAAAATAAAAACACACAGGGTCTGCATCTCTGTGCAGCCAAGTTATGAAACTTTCATAGCTGAGGATATTTGGCAGGAACCTCCAGTGGATGTGTCCTTAGCAGGTTCCAGCCCAGTCTTTCAGTTGCCCTGCCTGCTGGAGTTCAGAACTGAGAGAAATCTCAGTCTCAGCCCTGATGCAGACATGCCAAGCAGCTGAAGTGCTAATAGGACTCTGGACAAGCAAGTGGGGATTGTCTGAATGCACGGCGACCTCTCAAAGAACAACAGTTCCAACAAGCCACCTATTTTTTGTCTGTGTGGTGAGCAAGCTAACTTACCAGAGGAGGGAGGATGTCCCTTAGCATAGTACTGAACAAATGACTATTTTTCCAAAAGAAAAGTTGACTCTTGCACGGATGTCCAGCCTAGAAGTACTGCAAAAACCAGATTCTCTTGACCATATTGCTGCCTGAGACAGTTCCTAAGACAGTTGAACACCAGTCTCAAATGCAATTGATGCTGCAACTCCATGAAAAGAGTGAGCTCTGGGAGGACCTGGAAGTTCCAATCCTGTGAGCTGATAGACCTGTGCAACAGCATGGTAAACTGAGGTAGTGGCAAGGTACACTTGGAGAGGCTAAGAAGCAACCACAGATAAGGTTTGGTTCAATAACTATAAGCCACATTCTGAGAGATTATGGTTTGAGACACTTCTCAGAGAGAGAAAGAACGAACGGCAAAACCTGAAAACATTGGATTTGATCGAATCCTGCTCTAGTAGCCAAAGACAAAAAGGACTTAAACTTTTACTATAAAAAAGTGTAATTGTAGTTCTTCCTGCAGCCTCAAGGATGGAATGAAGTTTTATGGTCAGTGTGGTCTGTTAAGAGTAAAATCCTCCAAGTTGCCAGCTTCAGGATATGTATGTCCCAGATGTCAACATTTGCCTCAATCCCAAGACAACAGGTTCAAAATCAAAGAGAGATGAAGTCTTCATTTGGATAGAAGAGTGCAGTGAACCTAGCTTGCCATGGCCTCCATGGGCTGATGAGGATCCTTACTGTAGCATCTAACTTTACCTTCACGGAGGGAAAATGTTGAACAGTGCCCCAGTCCACGGAGGTAGGAAAGCATCCCTTAAGGAACCCAGTCTACTCCTGCTCTGCGGCAAAAGAGACGGGAAAAGCTCAATGTTCAGCACCCCTCTGCCCTCACTGAGAGTGTACAAGGTCCAGAACTCTCACATTCAGTTCCCATTCATATGATGTTCGAGATTATCAGCTGAGGACATCCGCTGGAGAACTTTTGGTTCTGACAATGTGGGTTGCAGTTAGGCTAATATTCTGCAAGATTAACCAGTTCAGGATCTGCATTGCCAGTTTAGCCAGGGGAAATGATTTTGACTCTGGTTGATGAACATGGATGTCTGTTGCAATTTGAATGCATTGCCCATAGACTATGGCCTTGAAAGTTTGGAGTACTTTTCAGAAAGAAAGCAACTAGAGGAAGCTTATGTGGTTTCATTATTTGGCACGGCTTCACACTCCCTGTGAAGTATGTGTTGGCCATCAGAATATGGATAAGTGACAAGCTTATGACAAAGGGGATTTCCTTACAAACACTCTGTAGTGACATCTAGTCCAGGTGAGGATCATATGGACCAATGAGAAAAATGCAGAGACATGTATGATTAGCCTCTTTGGACTGCTTGACGGTCTGAAGAAACCAAAGCTGGTGGGGCCCCGTGTGGAGCCTGCCATGATGAACCACTACCTTGTGGCCTAGTAAGTGCTAGACCTGAAAGATGGTGACCGATGATTTGAAGTGCAGCTCTGCTGTCAAGTCTGCTAACAATGCTGCTCTATCCATTGGTAGAAAAGCTCTCCTGCCATAGAATCTAGGCAAGCTCCAATGTACAAAACTGTCTACAAATGGACGAAAACTTATTTCTATGCTGATAAGGAAAACCAGTTGATGTAACAAGGAACAAATAGAATAAAGTAAATCCTGTTTTGGGCAGCAGCTAACAGCTAATCATCCAAACAGCAACAGCCTTGAAGAATGTGCAGAAACTGCTGCCATGCATCCAGTAAATACTCTGCGAACTGCTGACAAACCAAATGGGAGAACTACAAACTTTGGACATGATTTGCACTTGAAATTGGGCACCATAATGCTGGTGAAAAGCAGAGAATATGGGAAATAATCAATGATTACTTATTTGAAAAGGTGCACTACTACAAAGATATTCCAAGACTAGTGAAAATGCTGTGGATCTGGTATCAGCACCTGCCTCATTTAAGAAAATGTGCACATTTCTAGCTTTTTGAGTCAAGAATGCAAGTCCAATTCAGACATTGCTCTCCTTACATTAATAAAATGGTGTAAGTAGAAAGCATAAACATCACAAGCCTGGAGTACATTGCACCTGTGCAAAGACTCTGCAAGTGATGTAGAAACCAACATGACCTGGGGGCCAGCAGCAGAGATGCATAAAGTGGTAAAGCCAACTAGAACTTCTCTCATCCCCTTTCAGGGTCCTGAAGAGCTTCAGCTACTGGGTGGTATGGAATTATCACTATTATACTGCATGAGAAGAATGCCTAAGTAGCTGTATAGACTGGTGGAGATTCTGCCATTCCACTACAGAGCCTTTTCTATGCCTGAGTTTATCCGCAGATGATGTGGTCACCACCCATATTTATTGGTCAACAGAAGAAATGGGAAGCCCCATGCTCCAGAACCAATCTGACTGCACAGGATTTCCAGACGACCATGCCAGAATAAAGCACAAGTAGCACTTCTTCAGATTCAGATTCAAACTGCTTAATTGCCAAAGATGATTCCTCTTTTGCTGCCTTAAGACTAGCAAAGCAACACTTCTCAGAGATGTTCACTAATGGTGAAAATCCTCAGAAAACCACAGGAGACTTTGAGTTCTGATAAACAACATACTTCAACAGTCTTGAGCCAAAAGTATACCTGATTTAAAAGCCTTGCTCCCATTTGTGAACTACTGAACAAAAGAAATAAAGTCCAGCACAGGGTTCTTAGACTTTGTCCTCCAGGAGTATGTATTTTGGTGATGAGTAAATGATGTTAAAATTATTTATAGTCTTTCAAAAGTATTATGTAAATGCAATCCAGGGTTAACAGCAAATACTGAAATAGCAAAGGTAGCTACAAGGAATGCTAAAACTTGAAATTTTGCTTGAGGGCTGTAAATCCTGGTCGGCACATTACACAACAGCAAAGATGTACTTGCGATCCCAATTTTCTGAGGTACTGACCACTATGATATGCAAAACTGCAAGGATGCTTCCCTTGCATGCATACACACTGTTAGGTGTGGAAGGGTTACAGGCATGTGCTAAAAATCTTATGTAAGGACTTGAAGCTTCGAGAGAGAAAGAGAATGCTCCATGGCAATAAGGCAGTGCATACCCTTTCAAAAGGCTCAGATGAAGGTCTTCCAGACTATGAGCTACATTTTGTAAAGTTCTTCTGCTCTCTGACTGCCCGAGAAAAGGGCACCAGGCAACCTTGTTGCAATTTTTATTTTAGTCTGTTTGCAAAATAAACTTTCTGAGGCAAAATGCAATTTAAGGGACCAATGGTCCAGATTAATTTATGCAAGAAAAACATGAGACATTTTTATGTAAGTACTGTACAAAGCTGTATAAGTTTTTACACTTTACATCAACATATTACAGGGAGTGTGAGGGTACAAAGGCCTTCTCCATGCTTTAAGTTACGCTTGCGCTTAACAGTGAAAACCAATTAAATATGGGCATGGAAAATTTCATAGAATTCATTTATAACTTTCCAGGAAACAAATGATCAAACAGCAATCTTGCACGTTTGTCAAAGGAGCTCAAACAAAATGTGAAGGCATTTAAAATTAGCTTTCAGGGAGTTCCAGCTCCTCTAAGCATTTGAACTTAACTGATAGGAGCAGATTCATTCTGGTGTTTTTATATGAGTGAGAAATGCACAGCACTGCTCTTTTCAGGCCAGTATATCTGTACATCAAATAGGCAATATGATTTTCAGCTAGTGGCATGTGGTAAATAATGCTTGTATGTCAAACACTGTTCCAATCCCTGCAGTAATGTGTGGCAGAGAAAAATGAAGCAAAACAAACATCCAATGCAATTTAAGTCAACTATGTAACAAATGGAACACAATACCCACAATTTTCACATGCTCAAAAGAAGGCTATGTTATTTCTGGTATTCTTTATTAAAAATACTGCTGTACACATGAAAAACAGGATTAAAAGGTAACACATAGTGGGATCATGACATCAGAATGTAACATACTGGTGCTTTTTAGGGGAAGCTGTTCACATGTAAAATTTAACTGGAACAAGGGCAAAACGAAAACAAAAATGTTATGTACCCCCAATGTATTTACAGTGTAGCAAAAACCAAAACCCAAATAAGATAAAACAGATAAGAAAATTTAAATGAACTAACATCACATGATTTCAAAAGGTTGTCCTTTCTGTGCTTTTGACTGTAAAGATAGGAAGGTCAGAGTTGTTTCCCCATGTGGAAAAAGTAGGCATTGAAAGATTTTTTTTTAAATGCTACCGTTTTAGGGATTACAGATATAACTCTTCCTATGATTGGATCATACTAAGTTTCCGGACAGCCTTCCAAATGGAATTATATTGGAGTAAATTCTCCCCCCAAAAAACACCAAAGCAGAAAATTCCAAAAGATGGACCAAATAAAACAAAACTCCACATTGTTCTATGCAGTACCAACAGCAAATATTTCCTGGATGACATATACTTATGGAAACTTATTGGCTCTCTACTCTTTAACTTTAAACCAAGTCCTGAGATTACTGGGGCTAAAGCAATGGACACGTGTTGACAAGCAGTTGCAAAATGCAACTTGTCTTTTAAGAAGTGAATCTTGCTGGTATAAGCAAGGATGAGACTGAAGCCCTGCATTACCCCTGCCTTTGCTTTTCCCAAAATATTGGTCCACAAAATAATCAAAACTTCCCAATTCCCGCAACTGAAGAGATGATCCCCTTTCATTTTCAAAGAAAATAGTGGGAAAAAGGAAAAAACAAAACAAAACCTCAGCCCGCTTATAAATTAAGCATTCAATATTTCTTCCAGAATACAAGTACTACTTTTTTGTACAAAAGAATTACAATATGATTTTTCAAAAACATATAAAAGACAGCTGCTCTTCCTCAAATACATGAGCTAATGATAAAAGACTGGTTTGCCATATTCATATCTCAAAGTCCCTGTTCCTTTTGACGTTAAAAAAGAACAATATTATGGCAACTGTTATTCTCTGAATATTAAACATTATGTTCCACTTAAAACTTTTTCCAGATTAACTGATAATTGATTTTATTGATTTAAGCTCATCAACTGATGCTACCAATTGCAGGCTCCACCATGTCTCATTAAAAGGTGCCAAGTGTGTCTCTAGTCTTCCAAAGCCTTCATTATGAAGAGCACTGCTTTTCTTGAGGCAAATCTAAAGTCAGAGTGTCATTATTAAAGCTTATAAAACTGGAGAGAATTATTAAAAATTCACCTGAAATTTACAAATATTGAGAATTAATAAAATGGATGCCGGTAACATCAGTTGCAAGTGCTTTGAGTCAGTCCTGACACCTTTTGGAGAAGAATTTCCACTTTTTCTTCATGGTGAGCACCCAGTGCTATTGAACATTCAGTGCTGGGGAAAGGATGTAGATACACAGTCTTCACTACTGCTTTAAGAAAGGAAAAATAGTCCTACATATTTGGCAGTCTTCAGTATCAAAGTATAGGTGTTTTACTACAAATTCCCTTGAATAACCAAGCTTGCGGACAACTGTGGATCCGATATCACAAAGTTAACTGTGGTACGGTGGGGGCAGAATCCAGACATGAAAACTGAATATTCATGTGTTGAGTATTATCAAAAGTAATATTACTTTGGGCTAAGCAGTGACTGCAAAGGCACAGCAGACCATCATTGCTCCAGAATCAGGCTATAAAACTTCAAACGCTCTTGATGCCAGACAACTGCTGTGTGTAGTTAATCCTCTGAACAGTGTCTCTGTATCTGTATCCAGTGTAAAGTACCATAATAAAGCTGTGGTTCAAAGAACAGAACTTTATACAAAAAAAAGTATACCATAAGTAACTTAAAGGAATACACTCCTGAAACCTCAGGCCTGTAACACAATGTCTTATAAAAAATTCTATTAAAAATTGCATAAATGTAAATGCATCTGATTAGCAGGAAAATATACAAACAGGTATTTTATTTAAAAGGCGCTGGTTGTGTTTAGAGCAATTTGGATATGCTCCTGAAGTTACAGGTCTCAAATGGTGCTGTTTTGCTTAGACAAAGCTTCAACCAAATAAAACGGGATTTTACATGTGATATACCTACAATACCTTGATTTTTTTTTTGTTTTGTTTTCTTAAATATGCACCTTCTGGTTTGATTGGTTAACCTAACAGTGGGTGACATATGACACAGTTTTACAGAAGTTACAAGCTACACTGTAATGTACAGAACACAATTTCTATGAAATTATTTACCTGGTCCTTTATAGTAATCTGGGGTGCAAAATAATATCAAAATGAATAAATTCTGCAGTATACTCAGTGGCAAAAAAAAAAAAAAAGATTATCCCAGAAATGTCCTTGCAAAGAGATTCCCTTAGTAAGTATCCAATGTGGCAAAACATCAGAGATCAGAAAGTCTTTAAAAAATTAAAATTAGTGCATATACGAGTGGAAAAAATAAAAGCAGGAACATCATGCCCCTGATGTGTTCCTTATTTTAAAATAAATTCTTCACAGATAAAGCCTCCAATGGCAGCCAGAGCTCAAGGGCAAGCAAAAACATTCTTCCCTTCACGTAACAGTGTACCTGACTGAAGTGCAACATCTCCTGCTGTTTTGTTTCCCAAAATGTGAAATGAGATGATGACAATCAGCTGTAGTGCAATTTGCTACGGTTACGTTCCTCAGCAATGTCCTGCATGCTTTCAGCAAGTACTACAACTGGCCGTTCGCAGCTGCAATCAGTTCTTGAAAAGTATTTTCAAAGCAGCGCTTTAGATCACTATATGTTACCACAAGTACACTCTTCTCATCTCTGGAAATGAGGCTTATTTTTTCTGGCACACCAGCATCTAGCTGAAATCAAAGCGCAGAAAACCTCATGCATATTCATATAATAATAGTGCTTGGTATCATAATTAATAAAGACACTAGTAACTTCAAGAGCAGTTTCACATGCAAAAGACTACAATTCTTTTCAATTCATCCACACATCATTCCTGTTTAGGCAGTACTATTATTTGCCACTGTACAGATGGAAATCCACAGCTCAGGACGAAAAGCCTCTCCAGCAACCTACTTGGTTTTTAAAGTATGGCTATTATGGAAATCCTACTGGAAATTATAATGAGTTACTAGAACTTCAAAAATACAGGTTGACTCAGGCCCAGTAACAAGGTGAAGGGAATTCACATTAATCTACAATCACCTGGAAACTGGGGAAAGCATTCAAAACTGCAGGTCAAACTGCAGGGAATATGAATCTGGGACACAATTCACACATCAGGTAGGCACATAGAAGTATAGGCTTACTGTGGTTCTATACCACCTCAGACTGCATACTTGCAATTGCTTGTTTGAAAAAATCCACCATTCAAAATCTCCCAGCATTTGGAAAGCTTATATTTTTTCCTTCATATAGTAGCTTTCCATGTGCAAGGAAATTTTGTCATGGAAGAAATGCCAAGCAAGCAAGCAAGCAAGCAATCCCTCATGTGCATCTTTGAGTGGTACAAGCCAAACAGCAAACAGCAGTACTACAGATACCACATAACTGAAATTGCTTTAAGCAAAATTACAGGAGAAAAATAAGGACCAGCCTATTTAGTTGTATGGTGCATTTCTTGCCTTGAAGTCTAAACACAGTGAAGGAGTTCACTGCATAACAATATAGAACTGATTCTGAATTTAAGATTGTAAGGACAGTCACGCTGGATAAACCCAAGTCTCATCTAGTCCAGCATTCTATTTTCATAGTGACCAGTTAGATGTCAAGGGAAATCCCACAAGCAAGACATGAGTGGATAAACACTCTCCTACTCATGTTCAGAGGCATGTTGCCTCTGATTCCCAAGGTAATAACCAGTAACAGACTTATTTTCCAGGAATTTGGCTAATCTCCCTTTAAAGCTGTTCAAGTTGGTAGCCTTTGCTAGATTTTGTGGCAGTGAATTCCATATTTTAACTGTGTCCTGCATGAAACAGTTCTTCTTTTTACCTGGCCAGAACCTCCTGCCATTTAGCTTCATTTGGATGACCCCAGGTTCTAGTACTGAAAGAGAAAGAAAAACTTTTCCCTGTGCACTTTTTCTACACCATACTTCAGCACTATGGAAACAATCCTGGGCGATTGCTGGGCTTACATGCTCTCCTCTCATCCTCTGGCAAAGGAAACTGGACACATCCACTTCTGAACTGTTGTTTGTTGTTAGCATTATGTCTGAATTAACATTCTGTCTGAACCAGGCCAATGTCTCTTACAGGTAGGCTGTAGTGACTTCTGATGCAGCCATGAAGCCCCCATTTGACCACTGAAGTGCATGGCATGTGACAGTATCATCATGCATTGCCTGGCCACAGCTAGAAACCAATTTAAGAACCGTAAGTACTTTAAAGAGTTACATTGTTTTACATACCAATTAAAAAGGAAGTGAAGAGGAAGGATAACAGAATACAGTAGTTCTAGTTTACCTTGTTAAGACAAGAGATAATGTGACTGAGGTCTATCCAGGGAGTACCCGCTTCTGTCACCTGATGGAAAAGATGATCCCTAAAGAGTTTCAGGAGATATCTGTCTCCAGTTTCTGACCACGTTGGGTCCTTCTGAAATCTATTGTAAAACAGAATGTTTGTAGTTCTTATTAAGAGTACAAGTTCATAAACAACTCATGCTAAATATTAACTGAAGCTGTTTTGGCTTTGTAGCAAGTTTCTGAAACATAAAAATAAAGAAAAAAGTGACATATTCTTCAGTTTACGAGGTTTAAAATTGTAAAATCTCTTGATGGGGTCAAAAGCATTTTAGATCAGGTAAGCTGCATATTCTTCTCTGAATATAATGATTTGGTTGATTTTGAAAACAAGATCAAGGAGGTTTTCACGTGAACTGTTCTGTAGCTCTCCATACTCGATATGAAACATTCTATTACTTCATTTTACATTTGGTATCATTAGTTATTGTGGTTAGACTTACAGTGTCCAGGAGAATGCAAGCTCTACAAATATCAATTACTGTTCCCAGTCTCCAGAATTGGCACTGTAGCACTTGAAGGATATTTGCTGCTGTTGGGAGAAAAAACTGAAATACCTTCCCAAAAATGCACTAATAGCGTGGCATTTTAAAATTAAATTTAAGTCTTGCAAATATGCCAGAATATGGAATAAGATCTCTTTAAAAAACATCACCTTGCACTAATTATTCTCAGCCTCCAGACATGCCTCAAACCAGGATGCTATTATCCATCTAGACCATGAGTGGCAATTATACATTCACATACAAGAGCGTTCTGGTCTGTGTGCTATAAAATTGACCAAAGTGGCCTAGCTCATATTTCAGAGGCTCCTCTACTTTGCAAGTCCATCATCCCAGGTGAACATTCAGACTCTCTTTGGGGTGCCCCTTATAGAACACCATGATGCAGAAAATGCTGAATTCCTTACTCTGGCCTCTCATTGATTGTTCCCAGTTTTGCAAGAAGCCGAAATAGTCTTCCATTCTGAACCTCCTAGAAGATAAGATTTAAGAGAAAAATAAAGCTTGAATAATAATTATAATAGCAGGCAGTTCTTTTACTAAAAGTACTGCATAATCACAACACTGTATACAGGGATGGATGCAGAAGGCATTCTAGAAGCCACAAGAGAGAGAAGGAGAACTGTTCTTGGAAAAGGAGGCCTGTCTTTGCAAGCTTCCCTTTTGCAAGATCAGAAACCTTTGCAGCTCCTGACTCTCTGAAAGTGGCAACCCTGGATAGGGCAAAATAGGCAGACTGGGGAAAGATTTGAATCAACATGAGCCAACGCTCTCCTGTTCCCCCAATATGTTCAGTAAACAGGCAGCAAAATTAGGCCAGCCCTGATGTGAGAGCTGAAGGTCATGAAAATCAAAAGATTTGGAGGAAGATTTCCCTCCCTTGTACTGTAGGATTTCTCGGCATCTAGCATAAATCACAAGATGTACAAACACACCAATGAATCACTTTCTAAAAGCAACAGAAAAAAGCAGAATGAAAGCAACCAAAAACAGACTGTAACAGCAGTGAGGAGAAAAATTAAAACCAAAAGCAACAAACTAGGTCTTGCAACACTTAAAAAAAAGAGCCAGTCACAACAAAAGAGCAACAAACTAGGTGTTGCAACACTTAAAAAAAAAAAAAACACCACTTATAACAAAAGTGTCTTCAATTTCTCAAAAAAGGTGGATTTCGATTGGGACAGCATCCCAGAGACATGACATCAACAAAAAAGCAAGTCTGTGCCTCAAGCTTGCTCAATGAAGCCTTGAGGTGGCAGCAAGAGCAAGGCTCTGACATCGATCTTGACTCCTAAGCAAGAATATACAAGAACTGCCAATCCCTAATGTAAACTAGTCCCGGGCCATTTAGGAATGTAAAGGCTAGAACAAGCACCTGAACTGAGCTCAAAAGCAAATGGAAAACTGACAGAGTGGATATAAGGTTGGACTTTTATGTTCTGACATGCAAATACTTGATGAAAACTTGACATTTGACCATTATCAAAGGCAGACCCTTAATACTCCTGTCTGGAGGTATTAAGAGAAAAGATGCCTTCTCTAGGAAAGACTGTGTCAAGTGTGTCTTGCTGGAACTGATAAAAGTTACTCCTATTTATTGCTGCCACTTGAAAGGAAGGAAAGTGATAATTCTAACAATCTACATTATTTTATTTCTAGCAAAGCCACCTCAATCCATTTATTAAATTGCCTTCTAGCCAGAGAGATGGTTCCTTTTTATCCTTCCTTGACAAAGTGAATCGATACCTTCTTATCAGTCTTTTATTGGAAAAAGAACTAATCAATCAACTATGCCTCTCTTATGTATGATCAATGAAGACAAAACTAGCCTAGAAAGGAGTGGAGCAACATTTCAATATAGTGTCTCCTTCAAAAGACCAATGTACTTTCCCTTAGCTATACCCCAAGAAGTAGACTTGCCCTAATTTTTCAGAAGACCATATTGTAGTACTGGACACAGATTCCCATCACACCTCCAAGAACCATTTTCAGCTGCAATTAATGTAATTATTCGAAGACAACTGCTACAAACAGGAGATTTCCTGATCAAGCCTTAACTAAGGTAAATTATTAAAATGGCATTAACTACCATAGGAAAGACAGTTCATTTTTACAAATTGCCGTATATAATATTTGACAGGTTTATGGCTACTTACCTTTGCAAGGTCTTCTTCTATTACATCATTCCTCATTTGGGCAGCATCCAACTGAGTATAGAATCTTGCACCAATCATAGGCATGATATCATTTACACTTCGAAGCCTGTTTTGGTCAGTCAGCAAATACCTAGCAAAAACAGTATGTTAAATGCTACTTTAATAATTAAGGTTCATTTGAATAAGAAAAGCTCTTATTCAATCAAGGAAAGATTGCATTCATCTATAAACCAAAAAAATATGGAACAAAGCTCTGTTTCATATACTGCAGAATAGGGATGAGTAAAAAGGTTATGAACTGAAGCAGAACAGAAAGGAATTTTTCTTAGCTCCCACCTGTCAGCAACAGGCGCAACAACACTCATAGCTCAGAAGTTTTCATCCACATCTACTTCCTGAAAAAGGGTACTTGAGAGAAAATTAGGTGTAGATAAGACCTTCTGAACTCAGTTCTGGTACCAATCACAAATTCCTGACCTAAGCACATTCTCAAATTTAGCCTGGTCATTTATTTTTAATGACCGTCTGCCTGTACCACTATTTTGCATAGATTTTGCAGGCACCTTTAATCTACAGTGATGACAACTAAACAATCCATAGCACAGTGGTAGAGCATAGGCTCGGTGTTAAAAAGGTTCCTGGTTCAATCCCTGGAATCTCTTGATAGGGCTGCGAATGGCACCTGCTAGAAACCCTGGCAAGCCATTGAAAATGCTGGACTAGATACAGTTTCCTATGAAGCCCAGTTTTTCAGAAGTGTACTTGCCATTCAATAAGTACCATCACGCAACACGTATTTAAATACCATTCTGTAATTTCTTACTGTCTTTGGCTTCCAAGGTGATTACCAAAGCAATGTTATATTAAGCATCAATTCTAGGTTGACATCTTGCATTTTCATCACTAGGGAATGTGGCAATGCAAACCAAGTATAATGCCTACATTCAGTAAGTATATTTATATTCTAGCTGTACAGAAAAAATTGAGTTTCATACTTGAAAATGTTTTAAGAAAAACCCATACATTCTCAATAGTGCCAAGTTTTGTCTAAAACAGCTAAATAGAGCTAGTGTAATGTAGTGGTTGGCATGGGGGTGGTGTAGTGAGTTAAACTGTTGAGCCACTGACTGGACTGTAGATCAGAAGGTCAGCAGTGCATGACGGGGAGAGCACCTGCTGTTTTGTACCAGCTCTTGTCTACCTGCGGGGGAATAAACCATCCTGAAGGAAGTAGTCTGAGCTTGGACAACTCAACAATGCTCCGTGCATACTTAGGTGGCTGTGCTGTGCAGTCACTTAGTTCTAGCCAATCCTACCTGTCTGTCAACAGAATGGATTCCTTCTCCCACCATAATCCCTTCCAAATCTGCTCTGGAGGGTGAGGAACTTGCACAGCAGGTTTGGGTTATGCAAAGAGCAAGGAGAAATCTTGTTGCATGAGCTGAAGTTTTTTTATATGACGCTGGTTGGAACCCTATGTTTCCAATTACATAGCTGAATGTACATGCCTGCAAAGAAAGGATTGTTCCATCTTTCTGGGACCATGAAGAATTCTTTTCATATGGATTCTATTCTGACACTGAAGTAATCCTCTTAGATCACACACACATACATTTTCTAGAAAGCACCTGATGTTCAATTACAGTATCACATATTAATCAAATTGTTTTTAAAGTTGCTGTTCACTTCAGACTTAACTTACAAAATAAGATTCTTCAAATCAGAGGAATAGTTGATTGTCACCAGTTCCATAGCTTTCTGCAAATTTTCTCTCTGAATTCCTGCCAAAGAATTGCAAGCCAAAGCCAACACAACTTTCCCAAGGGAAATCAAGTCCGCTTGCTGAGGAAAAATGAGTAAATTCATCAGGGTCAGCAACACATAGCAGGCTTTCCTAGCACTTTAAAATGCATGTCAGTTATTTAAACACGAGCTATTTGAAGCAATTATCGAAATTGAGAAATGTATCATCATAAAGCAGCAGTCATCCACTTTATCTCCCAAGTTTGTTTTAGTAAGTAGCATGCAGTATAGCAGAGTACAATTTCCATATCTTTAGAAAGATTGGCTAAATACTGGGTTTTCTTATATGGTTTTCTTAAAAATTAAGATTCTTACTGGTTTTCATTAGTTTTTGTCAAGTATTATCTATCAGTGATATGGTAAGGAAACATGACACCTCAGGACACACCAGATTTTCTTCTAAATGCATAACAGATCCATTGCTACCTGACAATCAACGCTGATTCCTGTGAAGTACTTCAGACACTTGGGGCACAATCGAATGCATATTTAGACAGAAAGACCCCACAGTTCCAAGCTATCCTCCACCAGTAGCACAGAAAATGCATAGAATTGTGCCCTTAATGTACTTCTTGGTTCTAGAACTGTCTTCCCCTAAACACATTTTCTTCCTTAAACCATCTACTGTATTCACAAAGCAGAGCTAATAGAAATAAAGTAGAATACGGCCATCTGAGTATACAATCATGTATGAAATCTATTTGGGTCATTCAGCAAATAAGTAGGAGAGACCTTTTAAAAGATTTACTTTAAAAATAGAGCATCATGCCCACCCCGCAAGAAGCTCTGTCAGTAAAGCCACAGCCATGTAACAATCAGCAAATATGCGATCATTTAAAGTGATCTCTTTAACAGTCTTGACTTGGAACCTAAGTTGCCCTTCTACTCAAAGTTGGGATTTTTTTTGGCCAATTTTTCTTTATATCTGCAGCCTTCCACAACATATCCCAGGAGTGCATTTCCAGGGGTGCCTAGAGAACTGCAAGGGAAAGGAGAAAGTAGCACAATCCCATTCTGTTCACACAAAACCATGAACCATTGAAGTAGTCTGCAAATTCTTGGTGAGGCACTATGGCTCTAACATGAAGTTCCAGAAGCCTTCCCACACTTCTAATTTGTTCCAAAGTAAGATAATTTGTTTCACGTTTATAGGCTACAGTCCACAATTCTTTATTCAAAGGTGCACTCTTATCGTAGGTACATGCTGCTATTCTCAAAGATCAATATTTCTTAGACGTTATGAACAGCCTTGTCATATCCTCACCCAAAGCCACCCACCATATACTCTAGCAGCCAAATTTCTGTAGAATATTGTTGTAAATTAAATATCCTACGCTTAGGAAAATTAAGCAGTTGTTGTAGTGACCTCATAATACTTTCTTAAAGAGTTTGAGAGAAAATAAAATAAATATATATTCATATGCACTACAGATGAGAATATATATTATCTCAATATTAACATTATGCTAAGCCTATTTGTGACTCTGAATTGTACCAAGTTTTACAATGGCATTAGTAAAAAGTCTACTGTTATAAGCATCACTTTTATATTGCCAACAGTCTCATCATTTCAAAGAAGCACATTTATTCAGGTAGGAACTGAACATTTCAGTGAAGAAAAACATAACTGGTCCTATTTCTAAGACAATATACTGGGTTAGATGTTTAAATACCTGTTTAAAGTTCACAAAATTTCATTTCCAATTTAAGAACACCTGAGACAGATCAATAAACATGTTCATATTTCAAATTTTCTGAATATCCTATGTGTAGTTCAATATGGGTGTTAAAGTCCTATAATCTTTCATGCACCACATCTGATTGATTTTTATGATGTCATGATGAAATTGTAAACACTGAGCTGCTAGCATAACTGCTTACTTTGCCCATACACATTAAAAAAATAGAATAGAATAATTCATGAAGATGTACGTATTAACAATTAGAATTAAGAAGTATATAATTTCACATGTAAAGATCTAAAAGTTTGGTCCCTTCCTGCTACTATAAAACAGCCTTTTAAAAATGCTAAATTGGAAATCATGCTGCAAAGAGTGCTTGAGTAACTTTTTCCCCTCCCCATTTCTCCTTCACATAGTTTGCATCTGTTTCTTACCTCCATGTATTTTTTCCTTTTCTTGTATCCTTTTATTTTCCCCCTCAACTGCAACGTTTCTTCCTGCTTTTCAATTCTTGTTTTCTCCTCTGATTCTATCTATGGTTCTATTTATGTCCATTTACTGTATGACAGTCTCTATTCATGTGGCTGAAACAGACTATGAAAAATAGACTGCAAGAAACAATGCATTCTTTTCTCATGGCCCTCTTAGTCTATGCCTAACTTCTGCCCTTTCCTAAACAAATGCACAATGGATGTAGCACAATGGGATCTAGCTGGAGAAATGAAGCACTCTTCAGAATGCATAGGATTCCTGTACCCAATTAGGACCACCAACACGAATGTCAAAATCCAAATACAATACATACAATACAATACAGCTATACAATGCAAATGTTATTGTATAGCTAACTGGCTGTGGCAACAAGAATGTGTAATACTTGTTATGCAGTACCTCAACTGCTTTGACTTCTCTCAGAAAATCCAATGCTTCAGGGATTAGATAATGCAAGAGGTGTATACGAAAAAGCAGAATTCAAGAAACCCTTCAAATTTTTAATTAACTTGCTCAGTTAGAGTTTACACTGTTCCCTAGTGGCTACTTCTGCTCTGAAAAGGGGAAGTGAACTTGTTCCTGACTCTACTGTCTGAAGTTTGAACTCACAATTAGAACTAGCCCAAAAGAGACTGTAAGGGAGCTGTAAATAACTGCTTGATACACTCAGTGAAGTCTTAAAGTGCTGCATAACTAGGTCATTTCTAGACTGGAACAAAGCTAAAACAACTGAGAATGGGTCCCATCTGTTACTGACTCTTATTGACAATAAGCTGAAGTTATTTTCACAGCGCTGGGACTAAGTTAACATTATTTGTTGATGTGCCAAATCAACCACATTTGAAAGCATCTATTTTCACTCACCAAACATATCAATTGCTAACTAGGTAAAAACAACCATCAAAGTACTGTTTACTCCACATTTCTTTTTATAACACTATCAAATTGTTAGAGGTTTATCACCTATGAATATCGTATTTTTCACTGGATTTAGAAAGGTAATCTCCACTGTGGTCTCATAACTCCCCACACTGGCCAGAACAAAGAATGTTGCAGACACATGATGCTCTTATTCCTAAGGATAGACTAGGAGGGAGAAAATTCAATATATCACTTCAGAACATAACTAGGTAGACCAAACAATCATCCTAACCCTGTAAGCTGCTACTGAAACATTAGAAATAAAACATCACTCAGTCCTAATCTCAGAAAACTATCGGTAATTTTACCAGGAATTGGTGTAGGAAACTACTGTCTGAACTGAGGCTATTCAGTGGCAAAGCTTAGTAGAAAGTTTCAGAAGAACAGAAAACAGGGATCTTCAATGGTGGAAGAAGTTACATTCAGGTGTCTGCTGAAAAAGTATTGTAATATTATCTACATTCTCTGCAAGAAATGTACTTCCATGCTGAACTCCAGTTCAGGCTTTTTAAGGTTGCAGAGAAACATATTTCAGGAAAGAGTAGAAAGAGGACACTTTTCTACCGCAGCCCTCCCCAAAGTCCTATCCTTCTACTATATAACAGAAGCATAGAGACCCCTGATCTTTTTGGATTTGTGGTCACATTTGGAAATTGACAACTGCTGTGAACACCATCACAAAATGGCTCCAATGCAGGATGTGGCTAGTCACACAATGCCTGCTGGGGCACCCTGGCTAAGTCAAGAGGAAGTGAGCAGAAGAGAAACAGTGAATTTTGGGTCTGGGAGGAGGGGGGAGGAATTGAAAGAAGTCTTCTTTAATCTGACCAATCTTCTTCCATCCATACAGTATAGACTTACATGTACTCTCCAGCCTCCCACCCCAGCCTCTGGTTTCACTATTTTTCTCCATTCCCCATCCTGTATCTTTTTTCTCTCTACTTTCTTGGCCCCTAGCATTGCTTTCTCTCCCCACTCACACCTTTTATCTTACCATTCCTCTCCACTCCCAGTCTCTTGCTTTGCTCGTTCTCCCCACTCCTGCCCCACCATTCCCCTTTAGCCTGGCTTGTTCTCTTTCTACCCTTTCTTTTTGGCTTCTCTTCCCACCCACTGAATGGCAAGGTCAGGAATAAGAAGGCAAAGAAGATGCCCTATTGTTTTTCAATTTTACATTATTAAAATAATATTATTTTTACATTAAGTTTATTTTGGAAGTTGCAAGGAGTGAAGAGCTTTGGGGGCATCAATAGTGGTACCTAGTGCTGTTATGTTATCATGTTGGGACTGCCTGTAGTAAAGGGCTGAGGTTTAGGGCTAGCAGACAGCCCTGAATCTGATTGTGCATGTTTTATCATCAAGGGCAAGGGCAAAAGAGGAAAGAGATATCTGTTGTGTGGAGGAGAAAATGTAGCCACTTTTCTGTCTACGGAAACACTTTTTTATACTGAGGGTAGGGAGTATTTTAACCTGCATATCTCTCCCAAACTTTTTTTTTTTTTTTTTTTTGGTGTTGGGGTCCTGAACCGGTTATTTCCTTCCTTAACCCAACCTGACATGTCAATATTCTGTGCATCCAGACACCTCACAGTTCCTTCAAAGGCCATTCAAATGTACTTTTTGTTTACAAATATATATATTTCTGTATGCTTAGAAACTCCCACGTAGGTGGAAACAATTATCTTCTTTTTGTGTGGCCCTATCTGCCTTCCAAACTGATATGCCACTGCCCACTTAAGTTCACTATCAGAGCTGATATTATTGGACAAAGGGAGTGGGTAAAGTGGGGGGGAGGGGTTGCATTACATTTTTAAGCCACTGAATAATCTTCAAGTTGTTTAGATTCAAGAGACTGAGTAGCTTAAAAGAGTAAGACTGTACCACAGATAATAAACCAGTCACACATGTATTTGAGTCCAAAAATTAACTTCCAAGCTTGTATATTTTTAACACAGGGAACATTAGATTTTCTTGCTGGATATACAATGGGCATTATTATCCAATAATCTCACAAACTTCTGCACAGTGGTTCAAATACTTGGGAGCTATTTGATCCTAGCAACATACTCTGCTTAGCTCTATTTTCTTTAGCAGCTACAAGGTGCTTGTAGCATTCATAAAACAACAAAAACATACTCATGCAAATGTTTTAATGCAGGTGAAGATCTAAAATTCACATCATTTATAATTTAGAACATTTTTTAAAAATCATATTGAAGTTCAGTTGTACTTTAGTTTCAAATCTTAAGCTGAATTCAGTATTTCACAACAATAACTGGTCCTGTTTCTATAGAATGTATGCCAAATAATCACCATACCCTCCTTGCCCATCTGCCATCAGGCTTTCCAAACAAAAGGGAAAACATGCAGTTTGTTGTAAAACATCACATATATTTTTATAGTTAGTTTTCAAACACTGGATGGATGGTGAAGTGTTCCCCCACTAGGGGAAACACAACAACAACAACACAAACCTAGAACATTTTATGGCAACCTATATACTCTGCAGTTCATGTGGAAGGGTGTGATCTGCTAAAACAAGGATTATGGGGGTTGGAGAAAAGTCTGCTGTCGGGAATGGGCAGAAACACACCTGAAAACCTCTCCTGAGAGACACTCTACTCCATACACTGCTGGCAGGGAGTGGCAAGGAGACTGAGGAAGAGGAAGGGGATTGCTGAATATTAGGTGGAAACCCCTTCTGCTCCATTCATGAAAGGTACTGACACAGGATTTGCCCCTCATTCCTGCCATACCTCAGTCCATTTCATTCAGCAGGGACCCCCAACCTCAGGAGAAAGATTTTGTAGGAATGCAGAGGCTGCAAAGGGGGGGGGGTGCAAAACAGGCAAGTCATCTTCTGCCTCCCTAGGCTTTTCCATGGATCACCATGTTTCCTTATTCCCATTAACATGAGCTATAAGGCTCTGCCAGATCTTTCCTCTTGTCCCCACTTGCTTATCTTTGTTGTTCCAGGAGAGGGAGGTTCCACTTCTTTTCTTTATTCACAATGTAGCAAAACCAATCTTGAGCAAACATCATCTTGTTCAAACTTATCCATTCTCCACAGCTTTTGTTGTCTTCCCCAGCATCTATTTTAAAACTATAAGCTCCTTGTGGGCGGGGCCCTGTCTGCTCTTGGCTTTTCGCATGTAATAAAATGCTATGTGCACTGATGTTGGGGTATGAATTATAAGAGCGACAAATGAAGAGGGATCTGAACCCATGTGCAAAATAAAACCTTTTAACTTTTAATGCTGCCAATAGGGAAGGCATTTTCTGAAGTTTTGTATTTATATGTGAGATTTTATGATTGTAAGCCGCCCCGAGGCTTATGCGATGGGGGCAGCATATAAGCTGTCTAAATAAATAAATGAGTTTTATAAAATCTGAGCAGGACTGTAAAGGACAAGTCATTTTGAAGGGAATTCATTCACAGGGTTACCCTAAGTTGGAAATGACTAGATGGCACATAACATTTTCTTTTTTTAGTTTATCAGTAGCAAATTCCAAACAAAGCAATTCGACAAAGGAAAAGAGAGCCTTGACATATCAAAACCAGATGGATTTAAAGAAAGAGAGAGGAAGGTGAAAATCATAACATAAACGGTGTATATTTCAAGATAATCACTGATGAATTACAGTGAGCAAGAAATATGAGGTGGAGGGCCTGTGATCTTACCTGATACTGGGCCATTAGGGCCAGGGGATTGTTTTGGCTGTTATCAAATGTTAACACATCAAAGACTCCAACGCAGTTCACTCGCAACCTTGAGGACACAAGCATTATAGGAAAAGAGAAGTTTTAGAACTCCTCTCTTTTCCTGTTAAGACTTATTGTATAACTTCTGTAGCTACATCACAAGCTAATAAATTGATAAATGGCAGCTGTTTAATCAAATTGTGAGGATACAAACAGGTATGTAATGTTTCATGTGAGCTGAATGGAGAATGTGCATAACATGAGCTCCTGTGCACATTCACATGAAGGAATCTAATAAGAAAAAGAGCATTTGTACACCGCACTGTCTCTAAAGGCACTGTATGCTGCTTCAGCAGTCAACAGTAGGAATGTTGTACAATGTATTAGTTCATGCACCTTCTTCATGCTCATGTGATGCACATGACTTATTAAATTGCTATGTTGAGGAGTACCACTAACATAGTTGCAAAACTATAAAAAACTGTCCAGAGAGCTATGGCTAATTATAATTTGGCTATAATCCTGTATGATTGGTCACTAGATTACAGCTGCAACTGCAGCCACATTAGCTGTCCTTAACACAGTTGTATTTACTATATGCACAGACTAAGGCAGTCTTCCCCAACCTGGTACAATCCAACATAGTCCATGAAAAGTACATGACTAGAGAAGGCTGGGCTAAGGGATACAGAGCAGATTCATTCATTCGTTTGTTTGTCTGTCCATGTATTATATGTTATATTATATGTATATCCTGCCTTTTTTCTATCTCCTTTGTTGAGACATGAAGTAGGATCTAGGAGCAGGATCATGTGCTCCCTCACCCTAGCTGTTCTGCATGTAAATTCTCTTTCCACTGTAGTTGGGGGGTGGCAGCAAGGCTGGGGCGAACACGAGGGATTCACACAAGAATTGCAAGAGCAAAAGGAAGCACAGAGTTCTGCAGCCCCCTCCAAGTTCCTTAGCCCTAGTTAATGTTCCAGCTATCTTTGTCCTGATCCTTAGTCCTTCTCAAAAAGGTCATTAGAAATCTCCAAATACATTTGGTTCACTATGTAATAAAAGAATATGGTTTATGTTACCTTGTTTTGCCAGTTACCAGAATTTTTGTGGGGTCCATTACTCGGCAGGCCAGCCCTGCTGTATGAATGGTCCGCAATGCAGAACTGAGCTGAACAACGTAGGCCCAAATCAAGGACTCAGGCAACAATCCAGCATGTTGCCGAGGCAGAGGTCCATCATGCTGACCTATCAGCATAATTAAGAGCACAAATTATTTCAGAGCTTGAACAACTTTGGTTAATGCAAATGGTAGGGGTCTTTTTAATGTTGTAACCAAAAGTCTTAATCCACTCTCCCTCCCATAAACCAAGTAAAAATGACTATCAAATAGATAGGCCACCCAGCCTATTTACCATGAACACTTTTTTTAACCACTGAGTGCACCAATTCTTTAAAACTAATATACTAAAACTATATATAAATGTGGTATCTATAATCAGTCACTAGAGATGTGAGGTAAAAGTTTAGCTTATACCCTGCTAATAGCAATAGTGATTGAATCATTCTTACATGTTTAGAGGCAATATATCAATGAGTGCCACTCGCTACAAAGCAATGACAAAGGAAAATTGCTTTGGTATGTTTGCTAGAAGAAACAGGATTATGGACTATGGACCACTGGTCTGACTGAACCAAGTTCTTTCCTACAGGAGTGGATAGGTGACTGGGAACCAGCATATTTACTCAATCTCTATTTTAAACAAACAACTATTTGTTAATCATGGGTTGTTGGAACATGTGAACCAGGCCTATGAGATAAGCAATATTTTGTGTTCTGCATTTCCACAAAAAACTAAAAAGGAATCCAAGTTAATCAACCGTAAACCATTGGGATGCTTTAAAAAAGCAAATATACCAGCCTCTTTTCAAATATTTTAAATAAAAACAAAACCTGCAACTCCACATACTTGAAACATTGCACTTACTCCTTTCTGCAATGTTTGTTTCATCGCTGAAGTTTGACCATAAACATTTAAGAATTTTCAAAGAATCAACTGCCTCATGGAGAAAATAATGCACTTCAGACAATTTATTCAGAAAGGACAAAACAAATATACTACAACCAACACTAAAATTGTAATCATCCTATCAATTCCAAGGTTTTTCAAAGGTATAGCACAGTACCTTAATACCATATGGCATCATAAATACCAAACTGATGTCTGAGTGTTTTCCATCAAGAGAATAATAATGAAATTAAGTACTTGCAATGAAAATATAAGCTGCAAATCAATTATGATTTGCACCATTATGCATGTAACCCTCAAAAACAAATTTAGCAATATTCTACCTCAGACAAATAGCTCTTCAGAGACTTTTTAAAAATGTTGGTTTTGATGAAAGCGCTGATTTAAAAGAAAGTTACTTTGTTGTGCAATCATCTCTTTCCACACACTCCCCATGCTTTTCTTTAAGCAGTTCTTGCAGCAAACACCCACTCCAGGGAGTAATTAAAAGTTTATCACATTAGGGTGAGGGTGTTCAAGCAGATATCATGAAAATAACTAAGATGGGGCTCACAGATGTGCAAGTGCATGCCTCTAGAGTGCATTCAGAAACAGCACTTCCTGAATATGCATTCTACTTTTAGCTTGACAAAAGGGAAATAACAGCTGCTTGTAAAATTTACATACAATGAGGGAACACTCTATACAATGTACACTGCCATGAAATAATTAAAAAACTGGTTTAGTTTGTAGTATATAAATCAAAAGGACATATTCACTTTGATAGGAAAAACTAAAATATTCTGCTTCCACTATGTCTGTGGACACAACAAATGTAGCTAGCTTTCATTTCTGCTTTTCTCTCTCCATCCCACTTTTTAGTGGTTTGAGCTTGTGTTCCGGTTTGAAGACAAGCAGCTTCCTGCTCTAACCAACAAGGGCTGTCATATTCAGCGGAAGCTAACACTATGTGGCCACATAAAATTCAAGGTGCAGCATGGTGGTTTACTAGCAGTGTTCACTTAATGCATGTTTGAAAGAATTCTTCTCCTAACATAAAAATGTTTTAATAAATAAATAAATAAAAATTTAATAAACCTGAAGGCAACATACTACCGAGTGCTTATTGAACATTGTCGATTTTAATTTGTATGAACAGACTGTGATTTACAGACAGTCTCCCACCATTTCAATAAGAAAAGGAGAGGGCCACTCAGAGAGAACTGGAATGGTTATTTAGAGTGACTCCCCCTGAATCTGTGCACACAAAACACAAGACTTCCAAGCTGTGGAGAGGTAGTTCCATTGAATGGAAAGAGCTGTGACTCATGCAGATGAGTCTGTTTGAAGAAACACTCATCCAGAGGTTGCAAATTTGAGGTAGGGACACTCTTTGAAATCGCCTACCAGACACTCCAGCTCGCCCTTCTCTCTCTGCTTCTATCATATCCAACAGGCAGGGATAGGTGCCTGCATCAAGTCTCCAAGCACCTCTCTCTTTCAATGAATTATTTGAGGCATGAATTCTGCCTCCCCTATGCTCTCCATAAAATGAACAGCATATTAAGTGGGAGTGAGGGTCTCTGCTATAACTGCACCAAATTAGGTCATCTTGCACACAAGCAAGATACATTACCACTAGTATACATCAAAGTGGTTACTAGTTGCTAGTTCTAATAGCTGAATAATTCAAGAGTGTGTCTGCTAGTTGTACAAAAAAAACAGAGCTTAATAGGATGATGGACTCTACTGTCAGATTGCAAGCCTTACTGTATTCCTCAGGAATACTGTACCCAGAGTCATCTGCATTGAATCTAGGATGAAGAGTTTAAAGGTTGTAAGTTACCTTTGTTGCAAAATTTAACAAAATTCTGGTCTACATTATTACACTGCATTCATAGCCCACCTTTTTCCTCTTGTGAGGAACCCAAGGTGACTTACTTAGTTCTATTTCATCCTCACAACAACAACTGTGTGAGGTAGGTAATGCTGACTGGCCCAAGCTGAGCTTCATTGACCAGGATCTCCCAGGTCTCTGATCCAAAATTCTGGAATTCATTACAGCCTTCACACAACACAATAACTTACACTGAAAGATTGAGTGCACACTGTCAAACAACCAATAGTTCACATTCCAATAACAAATGATGGGTTTCTTTAAGGGTTGTTCATGGCTAAAAAGTATGTCACATTGTTATAGCCTGGTTCAAACAACATAAAAACCTGTGTTTAGATGAAAACCAAAATTTAACCACTACTTCAACCCCTGAGTGTGGGTAATCATAGCATATGAAGCCATTCAGTGTATTTTATGTTACATGGAAGCACTACCTTTTATTAAGTTTTAATCATTATTGTTCTGCATTTTTCTTTTGTGGTAAACTGATTGTGCGCGCAGTCTCTATTCCCAACCTCTCTCTCCTTTTCCTTTTTCAGCTTCTAACTGCACTCCTTTGTTATATTAAAGTGGGCCAGCAAAGAATGACTTTGTGATATAGAGGTGATGAACTGTTAATAACTTCTACATCAGGTTAATAAGCTAGTTGAGAGGGAGGGAGGGGCTTCAATGCTGTTCTAAAACAGAACCTCTGGTTCCCTTTCCCACAGAGTTAACTCTACCCTCAGGGTTGCTTCTGCTGCTTGTGGGCCAGATGGCAAGAACACCAGATGTTATTTAATTGGCTGGTACTTTTGACCTGGTATCAAATGATAGGACTTAATTTACTTCCTCCTCTATCTGACCCTCCCTGTTCTACAGTGTCTCCTTTCAAACCAGAGCTGATTTTAACCCAATGGTTTAAACCAGAGGTTCTCCCCAGCCTCTTGGCTTATCTCAAAGCTCATGAGCCTTGGATTTTCTACTAAGAATTGCAACTTTACCTCTTCTTCCAGTTTAGATTCAAAGTTATTCACAGTGGAATGTTGTGTTTTGGAAGAATTAGAACTAGTTCCTAGAATAATAGGGCCAAAATGGGAGAGCAGGAGTACCTGGTGATAAAGGAGAAGCTAGATATAGTGAACATTACCAACAGGGAGATAACCAATGAGATATGGACATCTATGGATATAAACTCTATAGGAAAAATGAGGAAGGACATACAGGAGAAAGTGTTGTCCTCTATGATAAAGACATAGAGTCCAGCAAACTTGATAATCTAAAGTGTGACAATTCCTGGCTCCAAAACTAACTTAGTCATAGGAATATGCTACTGTCCTCAAGACCAGAATGCACAGAGTGATTCTGAGTTGGGGAATGAAATCAGGGAGGGCTCCAACAAAGGCACTGCTGTGATGATGGGTGACTTCAAGTACTCACACACTGATTGGGTAGCTGTCCTAAATGACTGTGCCCTAGGAGCAGTTGGTTGTTGAACCTATCAGAGGGCAGGTAATCCTGGATTTAGTTCTAGGTGGGATTGACCAGGATATAGTGCAGGATGTAAATATTGTTGAACCAATAGGAAGCAGTGACCATGATAGTATCAGATTTAATATATGGTTAAGTGGAAAACTGTTAAAGAGATAGAAAAAGTTGCATTTGACTTTCAAAGAGAAAACTTCTCAAAAATGAGGGAACTGGTAAAGAAGAAGCTGAAAGGGGGGATTAAAAAGTTTAAATTACTTCAAGTTGTTTAGTGACTGCTAAAAAACACTATAATAGCAGCACAGATCATAGTATACCACAAGTGAGGAAAAGTAGCACCAAGTTCAGGAAATCACCAGCATGGTTAATGCATAGAGTCAAGGTAGCTATTAGGGAGAAGAAAGCTTCCTTTAAAAAAATGGAAATCCTCCCCAAATGAAAAAACAGAAGGGACCACAAGCTTGTGCAAGGGAGATGCGAGCAGACAATAAAAGCAAGGAAACAGTTGGAGGAGCACATCGCTAACAACATAAAAGTCAACAATAAAGAATGCTGTAAATATATCATAAGAAACAAAGCACCTAAAGTAGTAGTTAGACTATTGGATGATAATGGAATTAAAGAAGCACTGGGGTGGATGAGAAAATTGCAGAGAAGTTGAATGATTTTTTAAAATCAGGCTTCACAGCAGAGGATAAAGAGTCAATACCTGTTCCTGAGGTTATGTATTCTGGGAGGGAGTCTGAGGAATTAAGGCAGATAGTAGTGACAAAAGATGAAGTTCTCAGTCTTACTGACAACCTGAAAGTCAGCAATTCACTCGGACCAGATGGTATCTATTCTAGAAAACTCAAACATGAAATTGCTGATCTTCTTACCAAAATATTTAATATGTTCTTAATATGAGCTGTTGTACCAGTGGATTGCAGAATCGCTAACACCAATTTTTTTAAAGGGGATCTAGGAGGGATTGGGGAAATTACAGGCCAGTTAGCTTAACATCTGTTCTGGGTATATTGTTTGAAAGCATTACTAGAGATAAAATCATTAAGCATTAAGCATAGAAAGACAAACTCTTATGAAAAAGAATCAATTTGGCTTCTATGGGAAGTCCTGCCTTATTAACCTATTGAAGTTCTTTGAGAGTGTCAATAAGCATGTAGACAGAGGTGATTCAGTACCACTATTTATTTGGACTTCTAAAAGGCTTTTGACAAATTCCCTCCACCAAAGACTGCTAAGCATGGAATAAAAGGCGGGATCCTCTTAGGGAACACAAACTGGTTACAGAACAGGGAATACTGCCATGTACCAGCGTATAAGACAAATCACACATAAGACAAGGTTGATATTATGAACTATTTCCTGCTGTTTGGGCATATATGTTGGGCATATAAGACAATCCCCAATTTTCACTTCGCTATTTTTAGTTTCAAGGGACTCTTATATTCTGGTAGTACTAGTACAGGTAAAAACCTTTATTGGTATAGTTATAAATATTGCATGCAACATAAAACCTTAGCCTAAAACATAGAGGCTTAAACCTGCTAACTCCCCCCACCCTTTTAAAACAAAACATAAACCTGCTAGCTTCCCTGAAGACCAGGGGCAGCAGAACTTTCTTCTCCAGACTTCAGAATCCAAATAAGCTGCTACTCTCTACAGAACCTTGACCATTTCAGGAGATAAAATAGTCCATACTTTATCCATATCCAACCAGCCACACATCCTTTCTAGAATCAGGCCTAGGTATTTCTTATGAAGACCTCTATGAAGGGGGCAGCAGAACAGTATGTACACTGGTGTTTCAACACTGCCCTTCTCACAGAAGCATCATGGGAAACTTAGAGATTCTCATGACCTCATGTTACCTCTTATTTGGAGCCAACAGGGGCCTGCAAGGGGGCTGGCTGCCTGGGGTCAGTTAGGGAGTTCAACTACAGAATCTGCTGCCACAAGAAGTGGTGATGGCCACCAATCTGGATGTCTTTAACAGGTTCGTGGGCAGATTCATGGGGAGGCTATCAGTGGCTATTAGTCTTACTGGCTTAATGCTGCCTCCTTTACCGGAGATGGCATGCCTGCATACACCAGTTGCTGGGGAGCTTAGGTAGAAGCAGACCTTGCACAACCTGCTTGAGCAATCCTGTGGCCAGCTGGTTTGCCACCATGCACACGGAGGGCTGGACAAGATGGACCTTTGGTCTGATACAGCATGGCTTTTATGTTCTTAATATGGTGAAAACACATTGACAGCAGATTGCTGATTTTCTGATCCCACAATCCAAATGATCTTAGCACAAAATCCTGATCTAGTTAATGCCTGCTTCAATTAAGCAAGAGTCAAGCTATTAATCTGGGAGGGAACTGGTTCTGTATTTGCTTTCTATTCACTGGTGCTCATATGGCCGTATCACTCAGACACAGCATTTTATAGAACATATGCTGAATTGCATTAAAAATATTTTGTATGCCCCCAGAAAGAACAGAAAAATAATTATATTTGAGAAAGGCTTTTATAAAATTCAGAAGCATTCCAGTAGTTTGCAGGTGTTTCAGCAGAATAAAGCCAGCTTGTTATATCTAGAGTTATCTGTCAAAATGTAGTACCACATCCTTGACAATAAAAACCTGGAATGTGTTAGCAAATGACACCACCCAAAGGAAAAAAAAAAGACTAACCACACTGAAACAGCAGAATACTACATATATAAACAGATGCGTAACCACAATTTTCTTCCCTCAACTGCCAAATACCAATTTTCCTAACAGCAGTCAAAGCTTCTTAAATCAGAAGTTCTCCTGATATTAATTGGTACTAAATACAACATGTACTAAACTGAGGAACTCCTCCAATGTGGAGGGGGGTGTGAGGGGGGATTCTTGAGTTGCGAAATACAGGTTAGAGAATGTGAGCAAATGGAAAGCACAAATCTTATATGCCAGTAATTTTTCAGGTCGTCCATGTCCATAAGCTAATTCCACTTTGTTAACCTGTGTTCCACCCATGCAAATGCCAGCCAGAACACAACCATCCAAAGTGTTCATCTGCATCGTCACAATGCTCTCTCTTGTGTGTGCACACATGCACATATGCATTCCTGTACACAACCCACTGAGGGTAACTAGATAGAGTCGCTTATGTCATGTGATCCTGGACCACTTCCCACAGGGTTGTTTTGGGGAAACAAGTCACCCTAATAACCTATGGCTTATTGTAGGACTGTCATGTCATCTAACTTGTGAGGCTGATCCCTTCATAGGTCTAGAAAAATGGGAAGCAGACCACTCAAAACAACAGCAAAAAACTCGTCTGTGTCACCTCTAGAGACAGATTCTTCCCTGATGTCCATGTGGCACTTTGGAGCAACCTGGACTGGCTCGCTTTCCCCACTGCAATCACAACCACTTCTGTAGTTGCCACAACTTTCCCATGCACCATTTTTCAGACACATGGTGATTCATCATTATTAATAATATTATTTGATTGGTGACAAGGAATTGTGGAAGAGCAAACTTCAACTATGCCCAGTCTGAAGTACTGCCTGGACAATGTCCTGGTGAATGCCTGCTGTTAAGGCAGGCACTTCCATAGACATTCACAAAGCCTTGCATCTAATATATTGTTTTTCACTTGACAGCTAGCAATAGTGAGCTATCAAATGATCGAAAAAACTGCAAGAAAATCTCAGCTTGCAAAAGAAAGTGACAAACAGATCACCCTTTCACAGCAACATCCACTAGGCTTTAAGTGTGGACCTGACTATTGTTAGTGCCCTCTAACTCTTCCAGTCGTGAAGGAAGAAAAAGCCATGGTGACCACAAAAGGAATTACAATCACAGCACAGAGAGGCAGCATCACAGGTTCTGCCATGCCGTTCCCTGAGATACCTAATGGAGGACTGAGGAGGAAGGAAAAGGGGAGACAACCCACAGCCCGATCAACTGTAAAGTGTATCATGTGTTGTCCATAAAGCACCCATGCTGTATAGTGTATTTCTGAGATAGGTTGCTGTGACGTGTGAACTCACCCAAACAGAAGGGAGGGATTAAAAACTATACAGTGCAGAATGGTATGCACTTGTTAGTTTTAATTATTTCACACATTTATATATTGCTTACCAGTAATCCGTTAAAGCAGTTAACACAAATAATAATACCATAAATTACAACAATAAAAATTATTATAAAGCAATGTTTGTTGATGACAGCTAAATGAATTGGGTCACTTTTAGGAAGGCTAGCATCAAGAGATTGGTCTTGACCAGCTGTCTCAAGATTAAAAAGGAAGACACTATCTAATGGCCAAAGGGAACATGTACTATTTTTGGTGCTGAAACCCAAAATGTTCTGTTGCAAGTACTCCTGAGGCAAACCTAAGGTGTGTACAGCACCATCAGTAATGTTTCTCTAAGTAGTGACTGGGGACTCCAAGTCAGTAAGGCAGTATATCCACTGTGGGTTTCAACCCAAATGTTAAAGGAACCATCCATAGTTCTGAACATATCTGGGGGACAGAATTCAGCATCATGGATATCTCTTTAGAACTTCAGAGTGAAGCTTTGAGTGGCTACATCATTCTGACAGCAACATGGCATGTGGTGATCTCTAAGCTAATATTTCTATTGGCCTCAAGTTGATTAGGGCTTTATATACTAACAGCAGAACCTTAAACATGTATGGGCAATTCTTGCAGCAGAGGCGCAACACACTGCTGAAAAGAGGCCCCTGTTCATTGCCTTTCAACATCTTGATCTGACCAATGGATACCAAACGGAGTGCATTATGCTAATTTCCTCTCAACTACTTCTGATCTGGTCAAACAGACATTCATTTCAGAAATATGATCTTAGATCTGCCAATTTCCTCCTATTTTACTGAATGCAGAGTTGTCATTTATAAATTCAACAGAAATAAAGAGAACAAGTTGTCATTTATATGCACACACATAAAAGATGTAACTGTAATCTAAAAGATCTCCAGTGTAGAACTGGCTTCCTCTTAGTCCTCACCTAGACCAGGACATATGCTGAACTATAAACAGTTCCTGTAGTAACAGGGAGTTACTGGGAGCCCAATGAGCATAGACTATAAACTGTAGAATCATGCACCGTGGGATGAACTGATAAGCAGCAACTGAGATAAAACTTAGAAATTAAATGCCTCAAGAAAACTATATATCAAAACACCAAAAGCTATGTACAATGAAATGCTCTGAGACTGCAATGGTTGTTCTGCAATTTATCTCTATTGAAAAAAAGCCAAATAACAAACCAAACCATAGGTCTTGTTTGCTGGCCTTACCCCACTTCCTTTTTGTGAAATAGGCATCAGCACTAGGGTCATTGAAGTGTCTGCTCATCATAGTCTCTCCTCCAGCGTGGAAGTCATATGCAAACACAAGAGCTTTTCAGAAAGAGTCCGAGGTGAGAATTAGGTATGCAACTGAACAAGTCTTCCAATAAAATTGGCAAGCATTTCAAAATCAGAACTTACAATGTTCTCCAAATGCTTTAGTGGTGAATACTTCTCGCAATGTTACAATATTTGAGTGTTGGATCTTTTTCCACATGTCAACCAACACCATGCACTTTGTGTTAACAAGACGAAAACCTGAGAAAGAAATAAAAAGCCCCTTCACACTTTAAAAGGTTTTCTAACTTTTAATGGAAGCCTAACATTTCTTGCAAAACACAGAGCTGCCACCAACAGACACACAAAAAACAAAACTATTTATTTGTTCTTTACCCATTCTATGGATTGTTAGTGGGGCCAAATTCCTGTTCCTTATTTTAAAGGAATGATTCAATTTGAAATCCAATTTGTGATTTATACAAAAAAAGCCCAAGTGTTTTAGATTTAAATATCGGTAGCAATCAAATTTTAAAAGATGACAACTTAGGATTTCCCTCACCATGTATCCTCCGAAGGCAATATGGCAGATCATCTTTGCTATTTACAGCTTTGTAGCATGATGTTATGTACCCAAAGTTGCTTGTTTTCTGTATCCGATTGGGTGGTGGCAGTGGTTCTAAAGGGAAAAGGCTGTGGTAGCTGTCAACTTCTGTTGGGACAGCTAAACCAGTTTACAGAAATACATTAGACACTACTTTAAATTATGAAGAAAACAGTTATTGCAGTTATAGAGAAGATCAATTAGATGTCAAAACAAAACATACACTATTGTTTAGAGGACTGTAACACAATTACAATGTTATCATGACAGCTTTGATGAAACAACTGTAGGGACTAGGCCCATTTCCTCTGCAAAAGAGCCTGCCGGGAATGTGGAAATAGATTCTGATTCAGATGAAAAGGGGTTAGAATCTACAACTGAGATGCCAAGACCAGTGGAATCAAAAATGAGCTGGGTAGTGGTTGAGAGTAAATCAGTTTCACACACCATAGGAAGACAAACTGAAACTACTAGTGAAAAGGGTGGATCAGCCATCACTAAACCAAAGGTTTGGCAACAGTTAAAGAGAGCTCCAAGTGATTTGGCTCTGAGGCAAGATGATCCACCTTAGAGGATGTAGCTTAGAAGGAAAGAGGATTATTCAGGTAAGAATCTACTTCTTTAATATCCAGTATTCCATCTTTGCTTGTTTGTTTTGTTACTAGCTTCTACACTGCATTTCATTTGTACTCTTAGGCCTGCCTGATTGGCTTGCATAAACTTAATAAAGCTTTTAGTTAAAAAGCCATAGTCTTGGTCTGCTTGGAAGGAAGGAGAGAGCTACAGCCTCAGTAACAAAACAGTATTAGCTTAGTTTGGACTTGGGTTAACATTCTGGTTGTTTCTCCTTCAAGAACCTAGAGTTCCATCATCAAGGAGAATTACCCAGGAATGGGGCAGGTTGTTTATCAAAACAGGAGCAGACAGCAACTGAAATCAGCACACTCATGCGCACTCCAAACAACCCATGGTTAATAGAACTCTGGGCTGTTTAATCGTGCAAGCTGGGCCAGTATCTAATTTTGTTCCAGTCAGCAAAATCAAACACTTTGGAGATAAAAGTTTTAAAGAGGAACTAAGTTTGTACTGTATATTGCTAAAACAAACAGAAAGAAAAGTTAATAGCAAGGACGTAATTTTGTGCTCGTTAATACAGATGGGGACCAATAAGTAGATTCAGCTTGATTACATTCAGAACTGCATCAAACTAGTTTTGCTTTAAAAATTAGACAAAAAGAAAATATAAAGCTCAAAAAGTGAAAGTACTCAAAAATCCAATTTAAAATTTGGAATTTTTAATTACTTACCAGGCATATCTGCTTGGTCTATCTGAGCCATTGTAATTAAGTGTCTGTTGATCAGCTCCTGTAAGGAACACATTTTGCAGTCTTGCAGATAGAGGCATGAAATTCTGTTTATTATTTATTATTTATTACATTTATATTCAGCCCTTTCATCAGAAATAGTTCTCAAAGCAGACACCAATAATAAAATACAGTTTAAAACAAACTAAAATATAACATGCAAACAAGGCAATCAAAACACTATAAAAAGGAACAGCAACCCAAACAGTTAAAGCCAGCAGCAGAAAGTAAATACCAAAATTCTGCTTGAATACCAACATCTTTGCCAGCCAGCAGAAATACAGCCAGTGTAACTTCCCTCAGCAGGGAGCTCCAGAGCATTGGAGCTGCCACTTGGAAGGCCCACTCTCACATTCTCACTTAAATATGCTACTGAGAATGATGAGTCGGAAGGAAGGTCCTCCCAAAAAAGACCTTAAGACCTGGGAAGACTTGTATGACAGAATGCGGTCACAAGGTACCAAGTGCTATAGGGCTTAACAAGTCACCACCAGCACTCTGAACTGTGCCTTGAAACAAAATGATAGTCACATTGTAACAAAGAAGTCAGATGTTCCTTATAATGGGTCATTATTCTTGCTCCAGCATTCTAACTAGTTGAAGTTTTCAAACATTTTTCTAAGGCAGCTCCACATAAAGTCTGTTACAGTGCTCCAAATGAGATATAACTAGGCCATGTGTCACCATGGCTAGATGAGACATCTCTAGGAGCATCTGCTATTAACCTAAGCTGTGAAAATACTCCTGAGTGCCACCAAACTTGAGTATTCAGGGGCCAAGCTGAAAAACAGCCAAACTGTGAGCATGAGTCCTCAAAGATAGTGTAATCCAAAAAATAATCCAAACTGAAAGAATTAGTGCCAGCAGACAAGACCATTGGGTTGGAAGGTACTTGATGAGCATGTCAAAGAAGACCTCAGATTATCCAAACTCACCCCTTTACAGAAGAAGAACCCCTACATAAAAGCTAGCCTTGTTTAAAGGCTATACAAGTTTGAATATGATTGAAAGAGTAGCCTCAGGAAAGCCCTAAAACAGGCATATCCATGCTTTCTGGGCTTGTGGGTGCATCTTAAAGGTTGATAATATGTCCTGGCATTACCATAAAATGCCAAGGATTCTATGCCTAATCACATATTGGATGGGGAGAGGTCTGTACATGACCTGTGTGCATGGATGATCTCTCTTCCTGCCTTTTCTCACTGGTTCTAACTCACCCTTTTTGTGTAGAACTTCCATTGGATTCCCTGGTTTTGGCTTCTTGAATTCTGATTGGCTTTCTGATTGGCTTTGCAGTGGCCCAGAGTCCAACTAACCGATGAGTATGCCCAGTGTTAGCAGAGCGTTCACCAGGAATCAAACTCCACACACTGTGCAAGCAGCACCTGGGGATCCATGAACATACACAGACTTCCTCTTGGCTTGGCTCACTTTGCAGGACCAGGCCAAGCACAAGAGGTTTGTCCCAACCCCAGTGAGCAGGTCTGCTTTCACAGATCTGCAGTTTCAGGCAGCTGTCTGCAGCCTGAATTCTCAGGACAACTCAACCAACTCAGCTACTGTCATGTAGGCCCAGGCCTGAAACTCATGCGACAAGTGCCAACAGCAGTGCTTACTGGGGTTTTTCCTCCTGCCTTAAAGGTAAACCCAGGTGAACTGGAGTAGGGGGAGAGGGCAACGAGCGATACTGGGATGCAGAGGACCCTGTCACCAGTCCTTGCCATGAGAAGCATGAACATATGCATTAACTCCTACTTTATTGCAACATTATCATTCTCAAGTATGTTTCCCTATAAAGAACACTCAGCCTGTATGTGTGTGGCTATAGACAGATAGAAAGTTACTACAGAGTATCAAAATTGTGTTGTAAAGACTTTGCCCTTAATATTTAGGGTGAAATTATATGTACAAGTATGGTGTAGTGATTAAGAGTACAGGACTGGGAATCAGTTGATCAGGGTTCTAATCCCTGCTCAGTCATGGAGCCAACCGGGTGACTTTGGGCCAGTCACAGACTTGCAGCCCAGTCTAGCTCACTGGGTTGCTGTTGGGATAAGATGGAGAGCAGGAGGAGGAGGAGGATGCATGCCACTTTGAGTTTGATATAAGAAAAAAGCAGGAAATAAGTCCTGTTTTCTCTCTTAGTGTGCATAGGATTGCATCCTCAATGTAATATACATATCTACTCATAAGTAAATTGTTTTGAATCTAATGGGATATAATTCCAGATAAGTGTCTTTAATTTTTGCAACCAAAGGGTAGGTGTGTCCCTATAATAATTTCAGTTTTATATAGTGATATTACAGGACATACATTTCATGAATAAAGTATTTTACAATTATTTTATATTATAAAATGAACTTACCTGTCGTAGTTCATCTGCCATGAAGAAGGAAGGTGCATTAGCTTTTGGCTGCATGTAAGCAACATGAGGTGCAGTTGGAGGATAAATGTGATAATTTGGGAATACCTATCGAAGATCAAATTATAAACCAATTATTTTCAGAATGTATTGATTCATTACATTTCTATACTGTCCAACAGCCAAAATTCTCTTCTTGTTCACAACAATTAAGACCATAAAATACAATGCAAGATACTCTATGAAAGTTGGTAACTACAGTATAAAACTGAAGTAAAAACGAAAGTGAAACCTTGTAGCAATACAAAGATTTAAAATACAGCAAGGGGGCAATTCTTTGAATGCTTAGGCAGAAAAAAATGCCTGTAACTATCTTGCTTGAAGAATGCTAAGAGCTGTAAACCTTTTTCTTTCTCACATTCTTTGGAAGGGATTCCAGCGAAGCAATGCTAAGGACAATCTTTGGGTCTGAGCAGTTATATATGGGAGGAGATTATCTTTAAGGTAGCCTTGACCCAAGGAGTTTAGGGTTTTGAATGTTAATACCAGCACTTTAAATCAGGGCTGGAGATGGACTGACACCCTGTGCATATGGAAAAATTACTGACATAGTATGATCACATTGTTAACAGGAATTGACCGATCTCACAACTCAATTTTGGAACAGTTGGAGTTTCCAGGCCATTTTCAAAGGCAGCCCCACATATAACACACTGCAGAAATTCAGATGATGGTATGGATAACCGTAGCAAGAAAGATAAGGATGCAGTTGGTGTATCAGCCTAAGCTTATAAAAGATGTTTCATGTCACCAAGTCCACCTGTGCCTTTCCAGTGTTACCTAGCCTATGCTCCCAAATCTGTGCAACACAGTCTTCAAGTTCCTTATTTTATAAAGTGTATTCCCATATTTATTCTCATTCACTGCAGCAGGCTGGCCTACTTCCTCCTGAGCAATTCATCTGAAAATATGGAAGTGCCTTCCACATCGCTTCATCTAGTTTACTACCATCTACTCTGCCTGGCAGCAGCTCTCCAAGTTCTCAGGCAGAGATTGTTTCCCTGTTACTTGGGGAAGATATGGAGATAAGTCAGGAATTTAACATGCCTTTCTGCAACCAAATTATGTGGTCTGCCAATAAGGTATGGACTCTCTCCATGCACCTCTTGGTGGGAATAACTGTAAAACAGTAAAACATATTGGGAGGAAGCAACAATGGCAGTGTTCGAATGTCATGAAAACTACGGTTGTTGTGATACAAGCAAATTAAGGCAAGTCATGGTTTATCTGTTTTCAAGCCCCAACACCATTTGGGGAGCAAAAAGTGATCCAGCTTAAATTAAATTGGGGAGTAAAAGTCCCCAATAGCCAAGCTTTAATAATGATTAAAGTTGTGGTTTATTATCATAGTGAATGCCAATACTTATCAACAAATATATATTAAAAATACCCTCTTAAAGAAAGCTGAAACCTTACCATTCCAGTTAGAGGTGCTGGAGTTGTATCAGTATAGAAATAGGTTGTGCCACCCACAGTTTCCTTCTGAATCACCTGGCCAGTAGCTGGGGGCTGGGAAACAGCATTAGTAACCGGTGTAGAGGCACTAGTAGGCACCATATAATTTGCTGGGTTTGGTGTATGACTTCTTCGTCTAGGAGCAGGAGACGTGTGAGGAGTAATTTTAGGGGAATGAAGGGGAGAAGATCCCGCTGACAGTGACATTCCTTATGAAAATAAAAGGGGGAGGGGGAAGACTTGCAGGTAAAAAGGCAATAAAAAGGCATTTGTTCTACAATGAAGTCCAAGGTTGGAAAAAAAAACAACAAATCTCTTGCAGTTAAAAACAGAATAGATTTAGAACAGGTGAACAATTTCTTGGGAAGTTTCTCAGTTAATGAAGACTTCAGCCTTCATATAGAATTTGACTAAAATGCTTAGCCAGAATATAACAACTGACAAAGAAAGTTAGCTTGCCCAAAGGGTGATAGAAAATCAGCAGCAAGAAATATTTATACTCATAGATGCATTTCTTTATCTAAGTGTGTACTTTGTTGTGGTAAGTAAAGGGTTATGTTGGCTGAAGACAGCAGCAGTTTTCTTTGTCTTTCAAACTACTGCTGTGGTTTCCTGAAACCAGCACATGTTATGCACATAAGGTGGGCATGGTTCTATCTTGGAAAACTTTATAAAGATAATTAAGTATATTAGAGTTAATCAAGTATTTATTTAGGATATTTAAAAGGGCAATACTGAGATCTATGAGAAACTGAAATAAATCTATGCACTGAAACTCCTATATAAAGGTCATGTTTTTTTAAAAAAAACTCCAATAATATTGCAAATATCATGGAAACTCACTAATTATACTAAAGTCAGAAAGTGACAAGAATTTTTTTGACCACTATATATTGCATATGCACTACTGAAGCAAAAAAATGCAATGTATAACCCATTTTGTTGATTATTATACTGTAAACTTCTGTTACTATAAGATTGTTGAAGAACATGCTGCAGGTAGAGCTTATTGAAAATGGCTAGGATCCAAAGCACCATGAATGGTATTCAGAGAGATTTTTCAGTGTGCCCCCTATTCCTCTGAGCCTGAAAAAACAAGTTGGGGCATGGAGGATCGTCCACACTAAGAGCGGGGGGTAGAAAGAACATGAGAAAAGCCATTGCATGTTGGCACAGCATATTCTTTGTACAAATAAGCTCCAGGTTCAATCTATGGAACCTCCAGTTCAAAGGAGACTAGGCAACACAAGAGAAAGGGCACTATCTATGATCTTTGGCCACAATAGCTCCAGGCTAGCTAGAGGACTTCACATAACTCTCAGATTTAGATTTCCTCATCCACAATTGCTTAACGTCACCCTAACTTGGTGATGTTTGCTTTCTCAAGGTATATCTCAAAATAAAGCTTCCTCAAAAATATATATAATGCTGGTTTCCCCAATTTGAAAATCATTTTTCTATCTACTGGACAGCAGGACAACTCTTTGAAGTATGAAAAAAATGAATGGACCAACAATTACAGAATTGTGCACATTGCAAACCTAAAACAAATTAGCCGCCACCACTCTTTTCCTCAAATCTGGGAACCAGAAATATCGTGAGCAAACTAGGTTTCTATAGTCACAGAAGTGAACTACAACTAAATCAATTGAAATTAAAATGTTGTTATCACCAAACTGGATTATCAGCATTCAGTGGAAGTGATACAGGCCTTATTCCATAGCCAAAATCTGATCAGCAGTAAGTCTGGAAGGGTTTGGGGCTTAGTCAGTTTATTGAATACCAAGGTCAATGTGAGTTTATTGCTGTCATGGTTTGCGTGAGAAACTGGAAGTTGTGTCCCTAGAAAAGTAGCAACTTCAGTCTTGCAGAAGCCAACAGCATTCTCTGGGAACCTAACAGGTTAGATGGGTGACTCCCTTCTTAATTTGTGTTTTGGAAGGAGAGTCAGGATGTACACCCCTTCATTTTTAAGTCAGTACATAGCCTTCAGACACATGTGATACAGAGATCCCAATGCCAGGAGGTTTGGTTACTGGAATCACTACATATGGGGAGTAACTTTGGTCTCATGTCTGATCTTGCTTTGGACCCTTACTGTTGAGAGGCTTAGGCTCAAAGAATCCAGAGTTCAACCCACCTCTATCTTGATGCAGAACTGTTTCAAGAGCCTTTTGCAATATGCCATCAGCTATATTAATTCTGAAGATGCCAATCATTAAGCTTTTGCTGCAGAATTTGTTGTAATAAAAGGATCTCACTGACCCAGGAGTTTCTTGTGTCACAGTGTTAGACTGTGTGTCTACAGTATCAGGACCTTGACATAGTTTTACCCACACGGGAGAGAAATTTCAGAGCAGGTACCACAATTCAGTGGTAGAGCACATGTTTTACAGGATGAAAATTCCAGATCCAATCCAGTTAAAAAGATCAGGTACCATGTGATCTAAACAACCTCTGCCAGAGACACAGGAGAGCTGCTGCTAGTTGAATACTATGGACTAAGGAGATAAATGGCTTGACCTGGTATAAGGCAGCTTCCTATTAATAGGCACAATCTATGAAACTGGCTTATATGGTACATTAATCTGTTTTCACACCTTTAAAGGTTCTGGTGCCAGGAATCCAAGTGATTCAGTGTTTATGTATTGTTCCAGTATTTTTAGGTTCTTCAGGTTCACCTGTGACCTTAATCACAATTCTGATTTAACTGCTTAAATAATTAATTTGATTTTGATTTGTCAAGCAGCAAGACTTACACTTTCTAATACCTACATCTTACTCCTAACATATTCCTTCAGTGACTTTCTCCACAAGTGTGCTTAGGACAGAAGAAGGCAACTTATGACCCACTAGATGGTTTGGCCTTCAGATCACATCTATCCACTGCCTATGCTGGCATGGGCTGATGGGAAATGTAGGCCAAAATATGCCCACCCCTGAGTAGAACTTATAAGCATTGAGAACACATACAGACCAGATGGTCCAGATTTATAAGTATCTGAATTTGTTCAAATGTTTCCCTAACTTTGTATTTGAGTCACGTGACACTCTATGGCTCCATATTGCATATTCAAGTCATACTCAGGGTTGTTGCATTGTGTAAACTCAATGGGCAGAGGTTATGCAAGGGTTAAACAAACTTCACATAGTCCAACCTGCATTCTAGGGTTCTGTGAGGGCGGGTTAACACTTGCACCAGGCTTGCATGGCACTATAACACCTGAGTAGGGGTTAACTATAAAAATGGCAGCTGCACATAGTGCAACTTCACTGTAGATTAAATAACCCACAGTGGGTTATCATGTAAGGCAAATAGGCCACTGTTTTTAAACCCTGAATATCAGCCTTTTGGATAATGCAGTTTAGTAGTAGTTTTAAACATTCTTATTGTAGTTATTGAAAGAGATTCCTCAAATAAGAGCTGCAAATTGAAATTATGATGTGTCAAGACAACACTAATATATATCCATTTTCAAAAGGGCACATTTTTCTTCTACAAAGATATGACAAGATTTACATCTATGAAAGCCTTTAAGTTAAAATGAAATAGGAAACCTTTATTGCTATGAAAGATGTGCTGCTAGTATAGGTCCCAAACTGAATATAACTATCTGAAGGTACTACTACAGTGTAAACACTTCAAATAACTGAGATTATGAAACATATCAATCCTAGTCATCATAAGGTTCACTAGTGCTACTGAGGTTTGTCATCTAGTACAAATTAATTACTCCAAGCTTACCTGGAGCTAGCCCAGCATTTGCAGGACCTCCCATGGAAGGATGAGAGAACAAGGCTTGAGAGAAGGCAGATATATTTGACTGCGACATATTACTGAGACGGGAGGTTGATCCTCCTTTAGGAATAAATTCATTTGCAGTGGGATTTGGTGTCTGTTCAAAAATTGAAATAGAGTATAAGTGTTACAGATGAAATAGACAACCTATTTTGTAAATTAGTTGGATTAACACAAAAAAGTTAAGAACTTCAATGTTTTTAGCAAGTTACTAAAGAACTAAATTCTTTAGTTCAAAGAATTTTGAAAAGCAGATCCAAAGAACTAAAACTTACGTTTTTGAGCTTGGTGGACACAAGATTTTTTTTCTTTCTATGCAGGAGATTGCCATGCTACATAGCACACTTTTCAAGGTGTAGAAATTTCGTATGATGACACTAATTTCTGTTGATTTAAGAGTAAAAGCTAAACATTCTAGTAGCCTAAGCCAGGTACAGGCAGAAAGCAGATCTCCAGGTGGGGACTTTGCCTTCTGGAACTGCTGACCATTGGACATGTTTACAGGGACTTCTGGGTGTTGAAGTCCCAAAAATCTGAGATTTTGTTTATCCCTGCACTAAGCAAGTCTTATGATTGAAGCCAAATAACGCTTTAGCCATAGGAAGACTGACTGAAACAAGCTTGCACTACACACAGTTCAACTAAAATTTATAAGGCACCCATCAACTTTAAGGAAATTTGGAATAATAAGGATTTTGAAATTGCGGTAACATCACTTCTACTATTTTACAAGACATCTATTCTACAGAACTAAATTGGAGCCCTACTTCAGAAGTTTCAAACTACAATACTGACTTTATCGGCAAGGACATTTTAAACTTTGTTCCACACATATGAATGGGATCTCTTATTTTTGAGATCCTCATCTCTGTTTTTGTTCCGATGGTTTGTATATTATTACATGATTTAAAACAAGTTTTAGTGCTTCAGTGAGCTTGGGAAATTCTAGATCAAATCCCATTTGTGGTTTTGAAGTTCTGGATGATCCAGAACAAATTATCATATTTTACCAGAGCAAGACTGTTGCAAGATTAAAATGCTGATATGAGCTCCTTGGGGATGCAGGTGGCGCAGTGGTTTATGAGCTCCTTGGGCAAAAGGCGGAATACAAAAGTAACAAGTAACTTATGTAGTCTATAGAAAATGAGGAGCAAATTCTTTACTTACATTTTTGCTTTGATTTTGAACTTTTGGACTTAAGGAGAGATCCAAAAAACTTTAAATGACTAATTAGGTCTATCATCCAATTAAACAAATCTCAGCTGATGGACTGGGTTTTAATCAATGTATTACTATTCAATGTAGTCAATAACTTTCCTTAAACATGATTAGCAAAGAAGCTTACACAAGATAAAAACCCAACATGAAACCACAAGAGGGTGGTAGAACATCAGGTCTAAAGAGGTCCAAATCCGTTACCATGAATACTTAATTGAAATGGATGAATTTCAGGTAGGTCTGACATACCTTTTTAATCAACTTCTGTGGATTTAAATATTATGGTATTTTAAAGTACAAGCAGCAAAAACAACCAGCAAAACTACTGTTTCCTGCTGCCTCCCCAACTACTTTTCTGAAATTGATTTTCAGAATTTCTGCTTTCCTATCTTTGTAGGCATTATCTACCTATTTAAATTTTCTTCAAACTAACAAATTACAAAATGTTTCATGCAGTTCATAAGCAAAAGATTTGAATACTATATGGCAATGTTAAAGCTGGAATCCTAGATGCATACTTATCTGGGAGAAAATCCCATTGAACTCAGTGGGACTTACATGTACAGGACTGTACTGTAAATGACCTACTTTCATTTATTCCTAGGAGGACAAAACATCTAGACAAGCCAGAAAGTGTGACACCACAGAAATGCATGTTTCTACATTTTAAAAAATCTAACACCAGGAAAAATCTTTCCAAGATTAGGAAGAAAAAGGATCGAAAAGCATAGTGCCCTGTCAATAAGTTATGAACCACCAACATTCACTGAAGCATCACTGCATTGTCAATAATGTTCTCTTCAATAAAAAGATCTGAGAAGAAAAGCTAAACGCCTATCACCTATAACTGATAAAAGGAAGGCGAGGGGGGGAATAAAAAGACATCACTCCAAGAATGCTATATTTATTTGTTTAAAAATGCTTTTTTCTGTTCCTCAAGCAAAAGCTTGTGGTGAGGCTTACATATAATCAGCAAAGGAAGACAGTCCCGCCAGCAGGCTTACAATCTAAGATGACAGGATGCACAAGAAAAACGGAATAGGGTGAGAAGTGAGAGAAAATTACAGTGCCTGATATGAGACAATTATGAAACAGAGCTGAACAAAATCACTAAACCCCTTGGTCAGGACACAACTAATATCAAATGCATGAAGTAGTCACTGGCTTTAGAAACAAGGCACTAAGCAAAGTTATGGCCATGCCTAGAATAGTTTACATTAAGAGGAGATAACCAGCGTTAAATAAAAAGAGTCACATACACAGGATGTGATCCCATCATGTCTCAGTTCATAGCTTTTGCATCTCATTTTCCAGAATACTTAGGGCCCATATTCATCACAGTAACCATATGCATCAATTCTTCCACACTTTGCCAACTCAGCCAAAATAGTCTGGAATTCTCAGAATTTTAGTGAGAAACTAAAGATTTGACATGAGAGTCATGCTCTCTGTAAATCATACAAGTCTGCAGTACAGCAAAATTAAAAGAATGGCAAGAATGAAAGGGCACACTTACATAAGGCAGCAGGGTGGAATTCTTATCCAAAGCCCAACAGTTTTTCACTCCAAATAAATGTGCTTATACACTTTGGTCCCTGACTTACCAGCACTGCAGATGGGAAGGACAGGAGGACATGAGGGGGAGATACAGACTAGTCTGTATCAGCTTTCCTCAAGTTGGTGCCAGCTATGTTAACCTACAGCTCCAATTATCCCCAGACAGCATAGTCAATGGCATGCTGACTGGAGACAACAGTGCATACCTCTAGAGGACACCAGTTTGGGGAAAGACCTGTCTAGATGCCTGGAGAAGCAACATCATATTGAGAATTTCCTGTGCGATAACAGCAATCTTAATTTTGAAATCACAAGTGCTGACACTTTCAATTTTGTGCTAAAATACTGAAACAGTGCTGCTACATTCATGCATCGACCAAGTTTCACAGCAGAAGAACAGGGCCTAACCCTAAAGCAACCCTTGTGGACTGAGATTGCACAACATGACAAGCCACAAGAAGTGGGGTGTCATACAAAAGCTCAGAACACAACAACACAACAGTGCTCTGTATAAATTAAGCCATGGTGTGCTGTCATTCCATGCAAACAAGATTAATGAAACCCTACCCAAGATGTCTTTTGGGACAGCTTCTCTTCATTTGTTTTAATGTTGACCAAATGCAATAGTATTATGTTAACGTTCAGCTGTTTAATTATGCATAGCATAATACAGTCATCCCTAACCTGGTAGCATTATTTGGGGTTTCTTTAAAAATAAAACAAGAACTCTCATAGCACCTGGCATGGCAAACTGTCTCTCATGTCCATCCTCCCCCCCCCCCCCCCGCAACACAAACAGGTCAAGGACCAACGCACACGTGCTGTAAACGTCTGGTCAAATATACAATTACTGTAGATGTTAGACATGACATATCACAACGCAGCAGATAAATTTAGTGCTACAAAACCCATTTGCTTATGAAATGTGCGTGTATGTTTTGGTCCCTGACTTGCCAGCACTGCAGATGGGAAGGATAGGAGGACAAGACAGAACCTGTCTTCACAGAGGTTGATCTGCAGCATGCCTTAATCCTTTCCAAATACTCTACCCATGGGGAGCTCATGTGGCTCCTCCTGGTATTTAAATGGGCCTTAAAGACCTGGATATATCAGTCTACTTTTAAATGCATAAATGTCAACATTCATTTTATTCATTGACTTGATTTTACTGTTTTGGGTGTTTTATATGGCTGTTTTAATTATTGCCATTTAATTGTTCTATAATTTTATCTTGCCTTGAGGTTTGCATTTTATCTGGTATGCCCACAACTAGAGTACTGCATCCAGTTCTGGGCTCCACATTACAGGAGAGACATAGCTAGGTTAGAACTGATTTAAAGCAGGGCCACAATAATGGCAGTCGGGTTGGGGGAGGGGGTGTGACATATGAAGAGAGACTGAGGAAACTGGGTCTTTTCAGCCTGGAGAAGAAGAGAGTCTGAGGGGCTCTTTTAGTGACTTATACGTAAATAGGGAATGCCATGTGGAGGAGGGTCGTGACCTGTTGTTCCCTGCAGTCGAGGGCAGGATGTGTTCCAATGGGGCAAAGATCAAAGAACCAGGTTTCAGGTTGGATGTCAGGAAGTACTTCCTGGCAGTTTGACCCTTAGAATATGGAATGGGCTTCCAAGGGAGGTGGTTGAGGCTCCATCAGTAAGGGTGTTCAAGGAAAGACTGGACAACCACATGTTGGGGATTACATGAATGGAGATGGCTGGAGTTGAGGGTCAGACTAGATGGCCTGGCAGCCCCCTTCTGACTTGTTTGTTTCTATGAAATGTGGAACAAAAATATTTTAAGCAAATAAGCCAACTTTCAGGAAAGCAATAAAAGTCTAAACTTTAAATAAATTACATTTCCATAAACTCAGCACGTAATATAATTATGATATTCAAAATATCTACACCTTGTTAAGCAAAGAAAACAAAATACTATATTGGAATAACCAAGAGTACAATCCCAGAGACAGTGAGGAGAGAAGTATCAGCTGGCTAAAACCATAGTTAGCTTGGTTAGGTAAGCTTTTTCTGCAAATTCATTTCTGAGCTCAGTAGACTAGTTAGCATGAGCCCTCTGAACATGCATTACGGCTTCTCTGGACTGAGATGGCTTCTCTGGACTGAGACCTGTTAGAGAAACTAATAAGGTATGATGCAAGCCTAGAAGAAAAACATTCTCCCTTATTGGTTATTGAAATTCAGCTACTGCCAAACATACAAAACCAAAACTATGTTAATCAGTGTGCAAGTCATTCTTTGTATGCCTTTTAAGATGTGATGCTATCTACAGTGAACATCCAATCTCTGTTGAACTGAAGTCAGGTCATTCCAGCCCAGAGATCGACCAAAGCACATACTGATGTAGGTCAAGTCATCAAGGGAGAAAAATATGTTCTTGACCACACCCTCACTTGGGCAACAGTGTAACCTACAAGGTACATTGCAGTGAATTCTCTAACACTACAAACCTAGTCTCACTGTGAGATTTATCCAAACGTTAAATTACTATTAAGCCCTCAAACAGCAACACATGTGAGTAATTTAAAAAATGGGTTTTAGTCTTCATTCTAAGCATCAACTTTCCCAACTTTAAGGGAGGCCTTCACCTTTAATGCTTTAATTTTACCAGTTTTGTTTGCTGTAGAACTGAAAGGATGCTAGTAAGAATTTGCATATTCAAAGAAAGGATTTCCTACTGTGAAAACAGTACTATGGAGCAAATTAGTCCTTCTTGTTCTCATAAATTTAAATATTCCTGAATTCTGCCATTTCCCCTTACACTTAAATGCAACATTTTGCGCCTCAGAACATATATTGATGCTGAGCTGCTACACCGAATGCTTTTGCACAAGCCTAATAAACACCTTCCATAATATTACTGGGAAACAACTCTCCTCAGTCATGTGCCACTTTTGCTTTCTCAGGCTTTTCTTTTTTAAATCACAGAAGCTGAATATGCCCTCTCCTCCATTCTACTACAGTGGGGGAGAAACCATCTAGACCTGTACCTCCACCCCTGCCACTCCCTCTGCAGTAATGCGGCAATATTGTATTGAAGTGTAGAAAGCCCTAGGTATTCATCATAAGGTAGAAAGTGTGAGAGATCTATTCCTACTAGCAACAGCATCATAAAGATCATCGTAACTAAATATTATTAAAGCCTCTATACTAAGGAATGGCTAACAGTATGCTGAGTCTATGGGTTTTCTTTTCCCTAAGGTTGTAAGTAGAGAGCAGAAATAAGATATTCTGCATAGAACCATTTCAGAGTATTTCAATTCACTCAGCAAAACTTCATGTACTAAGAACTTTCTACTGAATATTTTTAATTGCCTAGTGAGAATTGTGAGTAAGCAATCATCTAACTTAAAGGGGAAAAATATTTGGAAGGTGTTTTGAAAAATCTATTATTCTTGCCACCCAAATTTGAAAACACAGAATATTCGTTGAGAAATATGTAATTCATTAAATAGTCACTTTCATTACCATGTATAGATTTCACCTATGAAACTTCTGGGCAAATTTCAGCCACACTACATATATCTAACGTCAGCATTTTTCAAAAAATAAAACTAGCAGCCAAAATTAATTCAAGTGACTAGGAAAAAGTAATTTTACCTGTAAATTGTTTTCTGTGACTCTGTTCCACCAAACCATATTGATGGGTACTCCTGTTTTACACCTGTCAGCCAAGCAGCCAATAGAGTTCTTTGATTTTCGTGCCTTTGATCCCACCGGAACTATCCTCTCCTCCAGCATCCCCAGTCGATACTTCCTTGGCTAGGGAAAAGAAGGAAAAAAACCAGGGCACTCCCAACATCCCTTCGTCTGCAACTCAAACTAAAACTAGATGAGAGTATATCTTTGGTTTGATTGGTGGAATAGGAAACAATTTGCAAGTAAAATTTCCGAGTCTGTTCACTTCAATCCTGACCCGAAATGCTTTGGAAAATATTGTTCAAAGAAGGGCACCAACCAAAGGAGCGTAACATATGGACCAATCCTATGCATAGCTACTCAGAAGCAAGTCCCGTTGCATGGAATGGCACTTACTTCAAAGTGTGCATAGGACTGTAGCAGGCTGACTGCATTGTTCAATTTAAGTCCTATCACTTTGTAGTCTTATTCCAAATAAAATGAGAAGTATTTGAAATATGCAGTACCAGCCAAGGTAAATGCTTTCCCATCACATACCTTCCACCAGGATACTGAACTCTGAAACCTTTTCAAATTATGAACTGATTTCTAAAAGTCAGCAATGACTGAACTTGGAAACAAGTGGTTAGCAAAATGCCTTGTCGTTCTGACACTGTAGTTTTAGAGATTTTGAACCCCATAGGGAAGTTTTCAAGGAAAGGCTACTAAATTGTGGCTGTCAGATTATTTAAATTTAAACTAACAATTTTGTTCCAGAAGAATAAGAATTGCTCCTAAAGAAAGTCAAGTGACACTTTATTGCAACAGCTTTTACTGCTGTATGGTTGATAAACAAATGCTTAAAATTTGAAATTAAATGTTAAAGATGTATGTTTAACATGAACAGATGCTTGTAAAATTAAGATATGATCTCAGCTACAAAAGCAAATATTTAGAATGAGAAAATTAATTCTGAGAACACTACATAATAAGTCAGAACACTCATAAATTTATTAAAAATGATGTGAGGATTATTTTAAATCAGAATTTCCCCTTTTTGATGTTTCAGTAGTGATAAAATGACAAAATTGGTAGGTCACCAAGGAGACCCTTTCCTTTAACAGAAGACAAATCCTAGATCTAGCCCAAAAGCATCAGCAAACTAAAATCAATGATGCACACAAAGAAATAATCAGCTTCTATATGAAATACCACCTACCTGCCTCAGATGCTCTGAACTAATGCCAGAAATGTTTAGATAGAAAGCTATCAATAAAATGCAGAAATCAGATGCTCCCATCACATTCAGAAGTTAACAAGTTTGATGTTTTATTAAAGTTCAAATGCACTCCATTCCAAACAGACTGGCACAAGCAACTTCTACTGTGAACTGAAGGCAAATATCCATATTCACAAGCTGTATCCTTGCTGACAGTAGATGTGACTCTGCTGAGTTTCAAAATTTGAACAAAGAGCATATAACATGCAACCACTTATTGACCTAGAAATTCATGACATTAGAGAAGTTCCCTGCCCATCCAAACAAGGAGTGATGAACTAAAGTAGAGTCGGTAACTATGTCAAATCTGACCATAAGGTGCAATGTCTGCTCCAATAAACATCAACAGAATTTGCTGGCAAGCAACTTTAGGAATCAGAGGGTGAGGAGATGACTGATCATCCCTCATCCTGTAAGTGGCCCTCTGGGAATGCTGGTTGGTTTAGATTTGCCCCCTGTGCTTGTGACATATGGCCACACAAAGATACTTCACAAGATTACATTAAACTGGACAACAGGTCAACTTCTCCAATGATTTACAACATTTCATTAAGATCCAAAAACAGCATATTATCATATAAAGAATGTTAAGACTGAGAACCTAAGGTTGAAATTCCATATTCACTTACCTGAGAAGAAGTCCTATTGAATCCAACAGGCCTGTTCATATGTCATATTGGCAAAATCCAGGTTACTTAAGTCATGGTTTGCTGGGTTATATGCAAGTTGTTTCTGATTTACATTGACTGAGGACACTGATTACAGGGTAAACAACTTAGCATTATCCTAACAATGCAGGACTCAGGTGATCTGGGTTCTAGTCTCTGCTCAGTCATGGAGCCAACTTGGTGACTTTGGGTCAGTCACAGACTCTCAGGCCAACCTACCCCACAGGATTGTTGTCATGGGGATAAGATTGAGAGGAGGAGAATGATATAAGCTTTGAATAAGTGGGGAAAAGCAGAATATAAATCTAATAAAATTAAAAAATGAAAAAACAAACAAACTGTTAAGTTAACCCTGGGTTTATTTTAACCTATGAACCACCCAGAAAATCTGGGTTAGAACATCATGCTAACAAGTTACAAATGAGGCATATAGAAGTTCTTCATGCAAGCTATGAAAGGCACACATGCAACATCTATCCCAGAACACTGTAGGCCAATTAACACAAAATCATTGAGATTTACTTCTGAGTAGGCTTTTATAGAAAAGCACTGTAAATTCCCAGCTTTTTATGCAGAATGATTTATGCCTCTTCATATTCTGCAAATTTCCTTTTTCTCTATTTTTCCCTGAAACTTTGACAGCAATGGCATGTGTAATATGCATAAAATGAAAAATTAACCCTTATGCAGCCTATAATGACTGTTCAATGATTAACTTTAAAAGTAGCTTCTGCAGCAATAATTAAACAGTATCTTAAAGGAAGTGAATATGCAAGAGAGTATAGTACCAGCACCAAGTGATAGTCTTCTCTTTTCATTTTACATATACCAGAACTATTGCATGGTGTAAGACATTAAAAATGAACAAGTTTAGAGGGGAAATTAAGATTGTGCTGCAGTTTTTTGCTGCAGTTAACTGCAGCTACCCACACTCATGGTGGCTCCAGAGCCTATAGCTGGAAAATATGTACCCATTAATAGGACCAATGCTGAAGTTGAATACAATTTAAATTTAGAAAGCTGTGTCCTTGACCAAGACAAGTTACAGCTTCAAAGTAAGAGTATGAGACGAGACTGAGGGAACTGGGTCTCTTCAGCCTGGAGAAGAGGAGACTCAGAGGGGATATGTTGGCGACATACAGGTATGTGAGGGGATGTCACACGGAGATATGTAGAGACCTATTCTCCCCTGCAGAGGAAGGCAGGATGAGCTCCAACGGAGCAAAGCTCAGGGAGCTAAGGTTCCATTTGGATGCCAGGAAGCATTTCCTGACAGTTAGGACCCTGAGGGTGTGGAATGGGCTTCCATGAGAGGTCGTTGATGCCCCATCGGTGTGGGTGTTCAAGGATAGGCTGGACATGCACATGGTGGGCATGTCGTGAGCAGAACCGGCTGGTGCCGGAGGTCAGACTAGATGGCCTGGGAGGCCCCTTCTGACTTGCTCTGTTTCTATGTTTCTATGTCTAATTTATCACACAAAATACTTGCAATAAAAATAAATAAGTCAGGTTTCTATGGCAACTCTCTCTCTGGGATTCTTCCTAAGAATTTAAGAGCAGATCCTAGGCTCTTTTATTTATTATATTTATATGCTGCCTTTCTTGCCTTCTCAGAAACTCAAGGTGGCTTACGTAATTCTCCTCTTTCTCTCAATCTTACCCTCACAATAACCACCCTGTAAGCTAGGAGTCGAGTCTGTGACTGGCCAAAGTCACCCAGTGAGCTCCATGGCTAAGGTACAGAAGCCAGATCACCTGAGTCCCAGTTCTGCAATCTTAGCCACTACACCACAGTGGCTCTCATGCACCCTTCCCTGCTCTCCTCACTAAAGGCAAAGAAGGATGCTCAAACTGTGATGTGCTATTGTTACTTGAATGCAGTATCTATTTGGCTGGATTCTCACTTTTTCCCAGACAGAAATGGGTAGCGAAGGAAGTGTGCAAGCCACAGGGCTGTGGCCAACCTCTTCCTGGTGAACACTCCCCCTCTTTTAACTTCTGCATATGTACCATCTAAAAAGTCCATACAAGCCATCCTACATATGTCCATTTCATGATTCTTACATAGCCCTGCACTGGATACCTTGCTTAAGGCATAGCAAACAGCAAAACAGAAACAGAATTTCTAGTGTATTATAGTTCAAACATTATCTAGACATCCATGAACTAGACTCAGATACAAGCATATAAAGTTTCCAGCTCTCAAGAGGGCACAGGATGAGGTAAAAAGCAAATAATACCTCTCTCTGCACGCAGCACATCATAATGATGCATTATTATAGTTAGCAGAAATCAGGTAATGAAAATTATTCACTCAAGCATTAATCTAACTCCCTCTTCTGCATAGATTTCACTAATCTAAGGCTGCAAAAGAGCAATTACCATTAAAGGGCAATTACCCTCAGCCCAAAGAAAAAACAATCTGAGAAATGGCATGTTAAGCTTCTTACAGAGAATACATTCAGAATTTATTTTGCAGCCTTAGATCTAAGACTCAATGACAGTATGCTGGATGCTCTTCAGCCATCCTTACGTTGTGCACACTACTTTTTAGAGCAGGGATAGGAGCTCTAAAAGCTCACTAGGTGTTGTAGCCCACCTTCCCTTACTACACTATTACTTTACTATACTCTACTTTTGACTAAGCAGGCTAGGGTTGATAGGAGCTGTACACCAAAATATCTGGACAGCCCCTGCTTGTGTCCTTATTTGTTCTATTTCTTTACATTTCTATACCACCCACAGCTATGCAGATTCTGGAGTGGTGAACAAGAAGAGATGATAAAGAGAAAGAGCATAAAATAGACAATCAATAAAAACAATTGGTCAACCAAGGAAGACTTCCTGAAGTGAAGATGCTTACAAGTACCAGAAACAGCACAATGTTGGAAACTACCTGATATTCAAAGGCAGAGAGTTCTACAGAAATGGACAAGGCAGGTTGAGGGAGAAGGCATTCTCTCAGGTATCCTAGTCCCAAGCTGCTTAGGGCTGCATATACTAGAACCAGAACCTTAAGCCTGTTTGGGTAATGAACTGACAGGCAGCATGGTTCTCCCAGAAAAGGAACGGCATACTGAAAAGCGGCAGTTCTTCACAAGATTTTGCACTAGCTCCAGTTTTTGCAGCTGCCTTAAGGGTAGCCCCACATATCGCACACTGCATTAAACTGATCTTTAGATTACTACACCTGCACC